CGATATTGCGAGGCACCCCAGGATCTATCGGCCCAGACTGGTCGGTTCTGGAACGCTGACCGCGTGGTGTCGGTCGAGCCCGTCCAGGCGGCGGGAAAATGCATGCAACTCCATTCCTGTTGCAGTTAGAGCATGGTGTTTCCTTGTTGCATCTGACCTTTCTTCGCCGGCATGTGATGCAGGATCGCAGGCTTCCCCTTGGACCGTTGGACTGGGTTTCAAAGGATCGTGGGTTCGGCAGAAAGGTGCTGGGGCTGGAATCTGAGTTACGGGAAAAGTCTGGATTTGAAGGAAGCGATGCCATTCTACATTGCACCTCCAAGATTGGCTGGTCTTGTACAGGATGACAACTGTCGCCGCAAGTGCTTTGCAAATGTTTATGTTGTCAGCACAACTGCCGCGTTACTATTGAAGTCTGAAGAAGCGGTGGATAAAGACCAGCATTCATATATAGCGTAATCACGTGAGCGGCGGACCTTTGCCAGCTACCTCTTATTACCCAACCTACAGTGGTCAATATAATAAAAATAACATAAGAGAACGAAATGTAGGGATCTCTCTGGAATCCTTGACTTTGGAACTAAAATAACTAGCTTAGAACTAGAGGTAATGTAATAAAGAGATATAATATTAATTCTTAAAAGCTAAAAATTTATGGTTCTGTCAAATTTTTATAACCGTATGTAATTTAAATACATTGTTATAAATAATACATCTTGCTAATACATGAAATGAACTAAGCGTATATAAGACACTTTGATACTCAATAAAAAATCGCTGCTGTCCCCTGCGTAAGCGATCTCCATGTTGTCCCCTTCCTTTTCCGGCCATGCAAATATGTTCAACCTGCTCTTGAATTGCCAATGCTCGTTCATGAAATGTAAGCTTAGTTACTCTGTTAGCTTATGAATACATCTTTTCTATGTTTCTTACTAGCTCTGGATTTTTTGTTACTGTTGCGATCGTACGAATAAAATTATCGTTTGGGATCAATTTGCTGTAGATCTTCCCTCTTCGTCCCGTGCAACAATACAACGATGAGTGGTAACCAAGGTAAAGCAAACGAGGACTCATCCAATTGGTGATCCAACGGATCTGCCCACTGGCTTCAGAATGCTAGTAGCAGGAACAGCCATTTTCACGCAGATTGATTAGGGTGTGCAAGTTTAGATGAATTTTCATTCATTAAAATATATCCAAGGCTCTTGTAAATTTGACCCCGTCGGGTTCTTCATTCAATTTAGAATAATAGATAGCCGGACTAGCAATATACATATGCCATAACCATTCATAAAAATCATTAGTTCATGCGATACAACTCTCAAGCCAATTTGTTGAGACAATCAGTACATAACGTATGCAACAATCTGCCTGATATAACCCATTACAACAGATATCCGGTGAAGTGTACTGTTCGCTTTTATTAGGGGCGGTTAGACAAAGCAAGGGTCACGCCACGCACACACATATAATTGAGACGAGAAGAGGTTGCCTTAGAGAAGAAGGGCAACTCCAAGATAGGCGGCCAAAACCATACCAACGGCGGCAGTGCCGACAAACTGCGAGGGCGAGGCAGCGCTGTCGCCGTACCCCGCGACGTTGACGTAGGCGGCACGCTCGGAACATGATGTGGCGGATGGCTTGTTCTTCCTCTTAGTCGTGCTGCATACCTTGACACGCGTATCGACAATCGTCACGCCAGTCATCCACTTGGCCGTCTCAGTTACTGTCGTGTTCGAAGCCTGGGCGCTGGCCGCCGTCTTGGTGGCGCAGACGGCATTGTTGGAGTTGAAAGTGCAGTCGTAGGTCGTGCCGGCGATGGCGACATGGACCTCGTTGGGGGCCTGGGTGAGGATGACGCCCTTGAAGTCGCCATTGCACCGTTGAGGGGTGACCCAGTTGTTCTGGCAGCCGAGCAGATACCGCGTGGTGGACGAAGATGAGGTCATGGGGGAGGCCCAGATGGCGACATTGCCCGTGTTGGCAGGCGGGATGAAGAGCGTCGTGGTGCTCCTCCTCGTCGCAAACGTGCTGCTCGACGCAAGAGCTTCTCCGGGAAGAGTTGCGGCCAGAAGAGCGGCAATTCCAGCTTTGAGAATGTTGAATCGCATGGTTGCGGAGCTGACTTTGCCTCAGTAATTGGCAGTGCCTCGGTAACTGGGAATAGGAACGCGACCGATGGATTGACCGATGGATTGACGAGTTGAAATTGCTGGTCAGGGTCAAGTTCTTATTGTCTTGGTCTTCAGCCGCTGGTGGTTGCTTGTGTTACATTTGATGGCCGCGCCACAATGCTACGCCCTATTTATTTATGTCCTTTTGTTTCACCCTAATTCCGCCTGCTGTTGGTTGGAAGTTCTTTTGTCCTTGATTTTTTCTCGGCTTACCTTTTCCATGGGAGCTGGTCCATGCAGCTACGCACACCAACGAGCTGCAGGCGCCAATCCCAAGTCATGCCGCAATCTTACGCCCTTGAGGGATCAATCCCATTGGACAGAATCGGTGTGGCTGACGTGAATCAGATGCAGACATGCAGGATTCAGCCCCTCAATCAGCCCTGTACATACGACCAACGGACAAGCGATGCCACCACCCACATCCCGTCATCAACGAGACCTGGACTCTTTCGTTGGGATCGTCCCCATCCATGACCAGCTGGGCCAGAGCTTATTCCTCCTTTGATTTGCCCGGAGCCACCCTCATCCCCAAGTCTCTTGTTTGAGGGCACGAAAGCGGCATTATCAATCATGCTAGAGGTGTGCCAGCGCTCACTTGGCAGCCGCCACGTTGACTCCAGCCACCTCAGTTGATTACGCCAAGCTTCGTGTAGAAACCACAGGGGAAATTCCTTCATCTGGTATTCATGGCAATCAGCCACACGGCCGAATGCTCGGCACTGCGCCTGGAGAGAGGAACAGCCGTTTTCAGGTTCTCAAGGTCCTTTTAGACGCCAGCACTAGCTGATGCGATCGTCTTCATGGGTTGGCGGATCCATGCACATGGGCTCAGGCTACGCACCGATCAACTGCGTCCAAATTCTACACATCTTTGATCCACAGGCAAAGACGGGGTACCCAGCCCTAAATTCATCCTTTCTTCGTTGGCTGTTGAGATTGAAGCTTCCCATTTCTGCTTGTACACAAATAAAAGCAGCCTATGAAGATATACAACAAAGCAACGCAGCACACTTTCAAAGAATCAGCAAATTATGAGACATGAAGATGGCCCTGTCTGTCGTGGCCTGCAGACACGTCAGGTCATGCATCGCCCAAAGGGAGTAGGACGTTGCGCACAAGGTTCGGAATACGGTACACTTAGTAGGCTAATAAACTAATCATGTATTCAAAATTAATCTCAGGTAGAAATATCAATAAGTATCAAAGATCACAAAACTTGTGTGCGGTTGCACAAAGGGTTGATTACTCACACCAAAACAGCCAGGTTCAAATGGTGCGACAGCAGCTGCCAGGTAGCTTGATAAAGTTTACTTTTAACCCATATTTAACACAGAACTCAAAGATATCTTTGGGCTAACAGTACCCAACATCTTCATCCATCAAGATTCCAGTCTTGTCTTTGTCGGGTGCAGGGTAGGCCGGATTCGGGGAGCATGATGCCAGAGTGAGCAGATAATTCTTCTCGGATCAGTACAACGGCCCATCTAAACGAATCGGTTGAATAATTAGATGGTTCTTATACCGCAATCCACCAATTGAGTCGATTCACAATGATGTCGCAACCATGGCCTGCTCCAGTGTAGGATTTTCCTCCAACATCCATCGTGGGTATGTTCTAGAATAGATATAAGTCGCGTCGTGAAGGTAGGACTGCATCGAATCATGATGTTCAAGTTCCCTGAGATCTTTTCTAAGGGCTGTCTGGTAGTGGCACTGCATCACGAGATTGATACCGCTCAAAGTTATTAGGCAACTCGACTGTTCGGTATTCTATGATGATCCCAGTTGGTGTATTTGTGAAAAAAAAAACCCAAAAAAAATTAGGTTTAATACTTCCCTTAACACCTTTGCCACTAATTATTATTGTACAGCGATGACCTGCAAGATGTGTTTGAGATGCTGATCCCAAAGTGCAATTGCAATCTTGCTTCTAAGGGGCTGCGGTGAAGCCACGTGGTAAAGGCAAGCTGAGGGAAGAAAGGGCTTAGAAACTACAGGAGGATAAGGCATTAAATATCCCGTCTAGAGATAGTCGACCGTCTAGTGCCTGGTTAAGGATCAGTGGGCGAGATGGGTGCTATTCCATCAAGATTAGAGCTCTCCGCATCGCGCTGAAGATGGAGCTGGCTTCAAGTTCTCTCGGCTACTACCAGTACTGTTGTATCCCCACAATCTTGCCTATAAAGGGCCTCGGCCCTCTGTACAGAGCTGATACAGGCAATGTGATAGCATCGTCACTGCATATGCCCACTCAGTTGGGGCTGGCAAGCTGCTAGCCACTTCTACAACGCGGACCACGTAAATACTTCGATCAATTCACTTATATGTCACTTTTCCCTGTTTTACCTTGAGGTGAACTGCATTTGAGGGGCTAGAAAGTCTATGTTTGCACTTAATCCCCAAGATCGTTTCTGTGGGGTTCCGCATCTATCCTTCGATCCGTTCGATCTATCTGCCTTTCCCCAGGCATTTGTCTGGGTGCAATGGCATCTCGATGATCAGCAACAAGTAAACAGAGACCTCTTTTGAGCCAATTAATGATCGCCGCTTCGCCGCAAGGGTGGGATAGCTGAGCTACAGAGATTGCGATGGACTCGGCTAAAAGCTTGTAGCGGCGCAGTATGAGACAAACTATTGATTTTGCCGTATTACCCCTTGTTTTAGTACCCTTTGAGCTTGATTTCTTTTCAAGTCTTCAAGACTTGTTTCTTCTGGCTCGTGAAGCTCTCGATCAACACTCTGTTCTCTGACTTGCAAAATCTCGCTTCTGCGTCCTCTCGTTCTCCTCGTCTCTCGTTCTCTTCGCCTCTCATTCTCTTCGCCATGAAGACTAACATTTTCGCTCTTCCGCTACTTGCTCTGGGCGGTGGAGTACTCGCTTCGCGATGTGTGCCGCGCTCGTCGTCTGGCCTGACCATCAGCTCGACGCCTACTTTGTCCACGCCTTCTACCGAGAGCAGCACGGTGCTGACGGCTACCCAATCCACTGCTACTCCGTCGATATCTTCCACTGAGAGTAGCAGCGAATCGACCACTCCCTCGGTCAGCCTATCGACACCTTCTACCGAATCTACGCCTTCCACAGTGTCAACGCCTTCTACTGTGCCAACATCCACTGTTGAGCCGACACCTTCTACTTTGTCAACATCTTCTGCTGAGTCAACACCTTCCACTGTATTGACACCTTCTACCGTGCCAACATCCTCCGCCGAGTCGACACCTTCCGCCGAGCCAACCTCTTCCACCGAGAGCACCACTCTGTTTACATCTACATCCACCTCCTCGACTGCCCAGGCCACAAGCACCGCCGCGCCCCAGCAGCCCAACCTGCTCACCAACTCAGGCTTTGAGGACAGCACCATTGCACCCTGGAAGCTCTTCCGACCAAACTCCAATCGGGGCCAGATCAGCATCGCGACAGATCCCGTCTACGAAGGCTCGCAGTCGGGCAACTTCCAGTACAGTGCCGGAGCCAACTCTGCCGGCGGCGTCTGGGGCATATACCAGTCCGTCAGCCGCTCCGGCATCGTCGCCAATGATCCCTACCAGATCACCGTCCGCATACGCGTGGCTCCCGGCACCTGCCCCAGCGTCTTCGTCGGCGGCACGGCAGGCGCCGACGGCCGCATGCCTGTTGGTCAGGTTACGATCGACGTGGCCGCTGCCTCCGTCGGCTGGGTCGAGGTTACTACGACGGTCCAGTACGCCCAGGGAACGATTAACTCGGGGCCCGGTGTCGGTATCATATCTTACTGCAGCGGTCCAGTTTCTTTTTGGGTTGATAATGTTGCTTTGAGAAAAGCTTCATAGAGCCTATTTCCCAGCCCTGAGTCTAATGAACATGACCTTGGGGTGTATTTGGCCACCCTAGGGCAAATTGAATAAAAGAGCCTGATGCAGCAGTCATAGGGCCCTATATAGACTACGGGCTAACTTAGAATTATGATAGTTAATATATTTCAGCCTTACAACTCCTTTAAAGATGATTCGCTTTCATTAGAATTAAAGGTGAAAAGCGTTACAGGCCACACCTATGAAGAGTAAGGCTACGTGGTCATGTAGGAGAGATCCCTGTCACTTGAGGGTTTCTGAACCCTCAGAACCAAGATAGACTCAGTAAATGGATTGCTTGGGTGAATAGGCCCGGAGAGCATCGTTTCACAAACAGCTTGAATGTATGAACAGCAGGTGCCGTCGCCGTGATAGGGGACAAATGAACAGCTCTTCTACAATGACTCTAGACCTTAGTTCTATAGAGATTATCATAAAGTTCCAACTAATACCTTGTAATTTTTCGACTACCTCTTTTCTACACATGAGAATCCTGCTCTGCTTTGCCATGACCCCTTAAACGATGGTACATACCCTCACCCTTAGCCGCCGGGGGCTCGACGGGCGGCGTAGAATCTTCTATCTTCTCAGCCTTGGCTCCTGTCGTCTCAGTCTTGGCAAAATCATCGTCCTTCGAGGCTTTCTGAAGAACAGCCACTTGGAAGATTCTTGATAGCTGCTTTGTAATTCTGTGCCGGTAGAAAGCAACGAATGCAAGGACTAGAGAAACTGCGATAGACACAAAGACTTGGTCATTCATCGTAAGTATCCGGCGAGTTCGAATATGAATGTAGGGTCTGTGAAACTTACATATCACATAAAATGCCCAAGCTGGAGTTTTCTGGAATGAAGAAACATCCAGCGCGAATAATGAAGAGAGAAAGGATAGAGGAAGCTGGGTAAAATTAGTAAGTGAAACGCCTTAATTGTCGTCAGGTATTTACAGCAACGTACAAAAAGAACCGTAGCAACAGTAAAGGCCATGATCGTTTTCCCTTGCGCAGTGGCCAGAGTAGCTTGGTAGTTCGCAATCTCACTTTGCTGTAGTGAGAGGGTCGTGTTGACCTTTATTTCCCCGCCCATCAGCAAGCGTTCAAATGTCAGTTCACTCGTCAGCCACACTTACAACTAACTGTATCCTCTCTGCAACAACATCAATCTCTCTGATATCGTTTAGAACGATTTCCGCCGATAGATCTCCATCCTTGATCTCTCTGCCAAATAGTTTCCTTTGGACAGTCTTCTGGTAGTGGGCGGCTGATCTGAGAATATTCATTTCATCGCGGACATCCTTGATATCGCGGAATAATTCTTCTGCTTGCTTTCTGATTTTATCATACGGTGAAGCCCTAGATGAAATTCGTGACACTGCCTCCTGTTGCCGCAAGCTCTGTGTCTGCTCTCTGAACTTTTCAAACAGGGAAGTTTCAAGTCTTCCCTGCCAAACTGTTAGTTATCAAGTGAAACAGAAAGGGCTGCAACTTACAAGTTGATTTACGTATTGGGAGAATATTTTGCCGATGGATATTAGCCCTTGAGGCTTTGGCTGTCTCTCATATGAACCGATGCAATATTCAACAACCAATTTGCTCATATCAGCCGTAGACTTCGGCTGGGAGCTGCTTCCTCCGGATTCTGTTTGTCTTCTAAATTGGTTAAGGATCCCTTCCACTAGCGTATCGTGTTTATTATCAAAAACCACAGAGGTTGCGGTTATTAACCGCTCTGGAAGCGCATATAATCAGCATGGTATTGTGAGATCGGAAAGACATTGAACGAACCGTCCGCAATAGTCCAGACCCATAGTTGGTTGACCCGTAGGAATGTATATGCGCTCTGGCCATCGGATTTTTTTTTTATCTTCTTCTGGAGATGCAGGGCCCTTTGTATCTTTGGCGCCTTTTAGAAATTTGAAAACCACCTGATCTTTGTTGCGATGATCTTTGTTTGTATTGGAGTCAGGCCCAAAATGGTAGTACCACTCGTCGAGGGTTGGTGATCCATGAACGGCCGAGTCTTTGTAGATATCTAGCAAATCGTCGTGTTTTTTTTGTTCCTCTTTGGACTTAGATAGGCTGGCATTTCCTGCAGCCCACTCAACCGCTTCCTTCCACTTGTCGTCAACCCCAAAATGAGCCTTTTCAAGCTTGCTCGATTTCAACAAGACTCTCATGACAGTTTCGTTTGGAGGTTCTTTATCCTCGCGTCCTTTGAAAGCTAAATAGAGTGCGGTGCGCCCATGGCTGTTTCGAGCCGAGAAGTTCCCAGCCCCATTATTAAGCAGGAGCTGAACCACGGCACCATGGCAATCTGCTGGCAAGACAGTAAACTTAGAATCGTGTCTGTCCTCGTCGGTCAGGTCGTCAAACCCGTACTCGTCATCCCTAGCGCCGCTAGCATTATGTAGCGCTGTGTCACTATCGATGTCCCGGGCATTGAGATCCGCACCGGCATCAATCAACTGACTTACACCACCCACGAAGCCTTCCAAACTGGCCACCAAGAGAGGGGTACTTTTAGAGCGATTGCTAGGAACCTCTAGTTGCAAGTCCTCATCTGGCTGCCGACGATCGAGCAGCATTTTTAATAAGGTCTGGATGCATCCTGGCTGCCGTCAATAAAGGCGACCAACCGTCATTGTCCTTGGTGGCAAGTGTTGACCCATGTTTCAGTAGCATAGAAACAACATCGGCATGACCACGGTAGACAGCTGCATTAAGCGCCGTCCAGCCATTGTTTTGTTCCACGGCATCAATGTTTGACTTGTCTTTAGTAAGAAGGCAACGCACTATCTCGGCTTCACCGGTCGAACTTGCTGCGTGTAGAGGAGACCAGCCGATCCCCGTGAGGGTTTGGGTATTGGCTTTCGCTTCAAGAAGCAGGCCAACAACGTCGACGTGGCCATTCCAGGCGGCTTCATAGAGCGGGGTAGCCGCGTGTTGATTTCTAGCTTCAATGTCTGCCCCATGTTGAATGAGTACACTTGCCAGTTTAGAGTGCCCCCAAAAGCAAGCTATATGCAGTGGTTGAGCGCTATCATTGTCTGTTGCCGCAGTGCTTGCTCCCCTCTTAAGGAGTAGTTCCGCTACTTCAGTGTGCCCCTGTAGACACGCTGTATGAAGCGGTTGTTGCCCGTCATTATCTGTTAAACTAATGTGTGCCCCAGCATCTATGAGCCATTCAGCTGCATCCACAAGTCCATGTTCAGATGCAATATGGAGAGCTGTCTTGCCGTTGGCGTCTTGAAGGCTGATCTGTGACTTGTCCTGAGAGCGCGACTTGTCGAGTTCGCTGATAAGATCCGTCTTGCTTATTGGTGGTTCATCCCCTGATATTTTCCACAGTAGTCTGCGTAGAGCTATTTTCGATAGAAGACTGTGTAGAGCTGGTTGGCGATTCTCGATCCCACCGTCTTCATTGTTCTTGGAGTCGGTTGTGACGCTTGATGCAGCTGAGCCGGCCGACCTGACTGAGTGGTGAGGAGCGGAGTCTTTGACAGATGGTGCATTAACACTTGGCGGCTTTGTCTCAAGGACTGCCTCATCCTGGATATCAGCATTAGCCGACATTTCGTGCCTCTCAGGAGTGTTCAGGCCAAGTTCAAATATCACGTCGATGATGGGCCGAGGGCTGGTGAGGGATGGTAGAGAAGGTTTGATCACCTCGACGGGGTCAAGGAGGCAGGGTGAGATTTTCAAGCTGAGAATGGCAGAGTGCCCACGGCTGTGGCAGGCAGACCAGAAATCTAACTGCCCAACAAGCCACCGTTACCGGTGCTGAACTTGAACAAGCGACTGTGACCCGTCTCTTTTTGATGATTGGGTCGCTTTCTGTTATCCCCACCCTTGTACTGAAGCTGAACTGCAATGCTACCAACCATTTGGGCGTAATTGGCAGCAATAATACACTACGTGTGTGTGTGTGCATTGGGCTTTATCTAGCCTGCTTTTGGCGAGAGGGGGCGATCTAAATAATACAGTCCGGCTATAATAAGTGAGTACAACTGGCATTTTTTCTTCTCGGCTCTAGCTCCTTCAAATGGAAAGTTTCGACGTCTAACTACTCTCAAAAGCTTCGTTATAGACAGCAAGGTTTCTTCCTAAAAAGAGCCAAGACACAAACGACTTGCCGACTAGCTCTGGTCGTTGCCTGCTTTTATTACTCCGTGAGTGAATTACCCCTTTCATAGACCCTTTGCACAGCGGCAAGGCCTTGTTCTGATGGGCTGCGGCTTATCCGTCCCAGAATATGACGTTGCAAGAGGGGTACTTGCCTTGTGCGAACCATATGACTGAAGCTGTTGGCCACCCATATGCAATACATTTAGTACTTTCCCCCATTATGCACTTCATTCCCGCATATGTGTGTGGGTTCCCACGTCAGCGTGTCTTGCTACCCAACCTAATATTCAGCTCTGGTCCATGAGAGGCTGAATGCTTCTGCGGCTGGGATTGCGTGGCTGCTTACTGGCGTGAAACTTGTGCAGCCCCGACCCAATCCTCTCTCTTACCATGGCCTGCAGAATGCAATGATTCCCACACTCATGCACGGATGCCTAACCAGAACTCCGCAACAAGAATTTCACTGATCGGAGCTGGAATTGGATATCATCCTAGCCGCCATGGCACTTCTGACATCCCTGTACGGGAGTAGCCAGTCGAGCCTCACTCATCATCCTGATTCGATAGTATACCGTTGCATAGTGCAAAATTTCTCAGAACACTTAGTTTCAGTAGAAAGATGGATTGGTGGAGTGAATGGCTTTGAACGATTTCCATACGGCTTAGACAGTGTCCCGTTTTTCAAGGTTTCTCCAAGTCACTACAGTTTTATTTTTCTAGGTAAGAGATGCATACTCCATCACCACCTATACTCATAGCAAATAAGACATAACCACTACTGCTTAGTCGACGACTGTTCAGTAACTCAATGGTTGCATAATTTGTTTTAGGCTTGACTTGAGAATCAATCCATCAGCCTTCAAACGACTCATGCTTGGGGAATAACAGTTGCCTTGAAAAGAAAGCCATTCTTCGGTCACTAAGCCGAAAGACGGACCCAAATTTCGCGGGGAAGATTCACTAGGGTTGCTGACCGTGCATCGTCGGTTGACTGTTAATTGGTGATGGCATTTTCATGTGTGCGGCGCCATCCACAGCTCTGTGGGTAGCAAGCAACTGAGAGATCCCTTTCCTCACAGTAGCACTGAACAATGGCGGTGGGTTTGCGATTCATTATTTCACACCGAAATTTATATACAACCGACTCATTTTAATAGGATGGAAGGCGCCCAAGAATCCGCGCAGAACGTATATTCATCTGGGCTCAACGCTTCGGCCTCAGATGATGAGATGAATATCTCCTTTCGACCAACTTCGAAGTATTCTGCTTTAGGTGAGAAGGCAGCTGCATTGGAAGTCGGGTGGGATAGCATGGTGGAGAAAGCCATGTGGTGGATGAAAGATGTATACATTAAGATTGTTGGGGACTTCCGAGAGGCGTTACAATATGTATTCTCTTGGGGTGGCAAAAGACCAAAAGGGTATGCTTATTGAGGCTATTCTTTGAGCTAGATATCCGATGTTTACGTTACTGAGGCTGGAGGGGAGTGGTCTGACACCCCAGACACGGAAACTCACCAACAAGTCCCTTGCTGAATAACGTTGTTCATGTCGACCCCAATATAAGTCCTCAATACGACGGGGACAGTTTGTTCCCAACTTTATGAGCACCAGAGGACAACACACAATACCTTTAACTGGTTTCAGTTGATACCCCCGGCATCATGAATACTCCTGGCAAGTTGGTCTCATCCCACAGTCGGCCTTGTGAAGTTTAATTGTTCGCATTTGGCGGCGCTAAGACATTCAAGTAACGGGTCTGCATGGTGAATTGACTGGTGAACAGGCTTGGAACTAATAATGAGGAGACGCTTATTTTCATCCCGATGCATCGTCTTAACAGGTTGCGAATGGTGACAAAGAAACGTTCGCAATGTTCTCCCATTGATCCAGCTTGTTTGCGGCAAGTAGTGACTACGTCTAGGGAGGGGAAGAATTGATGATGTGATATAGTATGCGGTGGCTTATTAATATTGCGGTGAGTGTCAAGGTTGTTGGTGTCAGGAGCCGAAAGGATAGATTATCCAGCTCTGCCCACCAATCAACACTTGGAACAATGGTGCGAGCAATCATATGGTATAATTTTCTCTCAGATGATACAAGTTTCACCCCCTATACATAGGTAAGATACGCTGCTGCTGATGCGGGGTGAGACAGATGAGCTGGAAGCATATAAGCGCGGTCACGCAATTGCGTCCAACGGTCACGACCGATCACGACATCTCTTTGGGGGCGGCGCATGACACGAAACACACAACAGCCACTGATTGATTACTGTTTTGTCAGTAGCTCAGATTAGCGCCATGGGCGAGATCGCCATTCCCCTCATGTGTTCATCTGGGTATCTGCTTCATCTTGGACCCGAACATCTCACTCTCCTTCCTCACCCCTGCTTAGTCGAGTGTTTGTCGTTCTGCTCAATATGGCTCCCACGCCTTCGATACCCATGATAGCCGGGCGCAGATGGCGCGGCACGGAGCCTATGCTTTCAGACCATATCAGAATCGAGGAGGGCAGCGAGGAGTCGCTCCCGCTTCTCGGAACAAGCCCGTCGTCGTCTGTTTCATCAACAGAATTTGAACCCAAAGAACCCGAGGTGTTCTCATCACCGCGAGAAAAATCAGGGCTATCCTGGTTCTCATGGAAATCCAGTAATGATGAATATGATGATAATGATGGCGACGCCATAGCTACGCAGAAGTCAGTGTTTGATGATCCCAGCCATGCAAAAACATTTCAGCCGAGCGTGGAATGGGAAAACATCCACCGGTTTGACCTTTCAGCCCGCTGGACCTGGAGCGAAGAACGAGCAGTAGTCCGGAAACTCGACTTCCGCATCCTCGGATTCATTTGCGTCGCGTTTCTCGCACTTGAGCTGGACAGAGCGAATCTTGGCCAGGCACTGTCTGACAATTTCCTGCAAGATCTTAAATTGACCACCGATGGTAGGCAACGCAGCGCCTATCCTATCTATTATCATTTGATCCGTTGAGATTCTTACGTGGATGCTTTTTCTTGATAGATTATAACCTTGGCAACACGTTGTTTCGATTAGCGTTCCTCTTCGCTGAGCTTCCATCCCAGCTTATCAGTAAATGGATTGGACCAGACCGTTGGATCCCAGCGCAGATGTGTCTTTGGAGCGTTGTTTCCATCAGTCAATTTTGGCTATATGATAGGTCGAGTTTCCTCTTCACAAGAGTTTTGCTCGGCATTTGCGAAGGAGGCTTCATTCCTCAAGTAAGTTTCCGTGTCAGCTCATGTATAAGACGCGACCATCACCAGGCTGTTTTCTCATTCGTGACAGGTCATTTTATATCTGAGCTACTTTTACAAATCTCACGAGCTGTCACTACGAGTCTCGTACTTTTGGGCAACCATGTCATTTGCAGATATTCTTTCTGGCGTTTTTGCTGTCCCGATTTTACAGCTTCGCGGGCATAATGGTCTTGAAGGCTGGCGATGGTTGTTTCTTATTGAGGCAAGTAAATCACCTGCCATATAAGATCACACCAGTGAAGATTAACCATCTTCTCTTTGATAGGGCATTTTGACGTTGGCCATTGGACTCCTCGCCTTCCACCTCATCCCACCATCTCTAACTGAAACCTCCAGTTGGTTCAGCGGCGGGAAGCCCTGGATGAATTCAAGGTAAGCTCGCGTTATTTCTGTTAAGTGATCAGACTGGACAACTGACACAGCGATTCAGGGAGGAAGTCATCTCAGTCAACCGGATTATCCGTGATGATCCCAGTAAAGGACAGGTGCACAATAGAGAGCCCATCACGGTCAAGAAACTGATCAGCTGTCTTCTCGACTACGACCTCTGGCCGTTATACATCATCGGCTTGCTTTTTGGCCTGCCCATGACACCGCCAAGACAATATCTCACGCTGCTTCTTCGCGAAGTCGGCTTCAGCACAGCAGTGACCAACTTGCTCACCGTCCCTGCCATGGCATTTTCGATGTGCTCCATTATAGCCATCAGCCAGTTATCAGAGAAACGTCAGGAACGATCTTTTGTTGCAATCATTCCTCAGGTCTGGGTGCTCGTAGGATTAATAGTTCTCAAAATCGGAGATATCACACAGATGAATCCATGGGTTGTCTGGCTGGTCCTCACAGCTCTACTTTCATACCCTTCCCGTATGTTCTCTCTCTTACCCCACACTGATGGATTTCATGCTGATGGAATCGTTGTCCTGTTTAGCACATGCTCTTCAAGTCAGTTGGACGTCGAGAAATTCAAACTCTGTGCAGCTACGAGCTGTCTCTGCCGCTGCGTATAATATGTGCGTTCAGGCTTCGGGCATGATCGGATCCAACATCTATCGCGAGGACGACAAACCGCGGTACGAAAGAGGGAATCGAAATCTCATCATAATAGCATGCGCAAATATTGTTCTTTATTTTCTGGTCAAAGGCTACTACATGTGGCGAAACGAGGACAAGACGAGAAAATGGAACGCCAAGTCAGCGGATGAACAGCAGGTGTATCGGGAAACCACCACTGACGAAGGCAACAAACGATTGGATGTGTTACTTGTCCACTGATCCGGTGGTGCATTTGGATACATTATGGAAATTCGGAGGCGCACAAGGGCCAGCGGCTTTCAAATAGAACCCGAGAGCCGAGGTCAAATAAAGCAACTTAATTAGAACTTGCCGTTCTAATTAGACGGAGGAGTTTAGATTTACAAGTCGGTCAGTTCGTGAAGAGAATCGTTCATTTCCCCAAGAGGAAATGAGGTCTCCATACGCAGGAATATTGAAAGGAAATGATCGGATCCACCACTTCAATTCAACCATAGCACGAACAGACCTGTTACTAGCGGCAGAATTCATCAATAGGATAATCTGCTCTTTGGCAATCGCGTGGCGAATTAGGACATTTTCAGCTGCAGTCGAAAAAAAAAAAGGTTTGCCATTGCGTCTCCATCTCCTGACCCCACGCGATCGACTTGATTCTGGGCAAAGAATTAGAAGAACGCATGTCAGATACGAGCATATAGAAGACGAGATATGTAATGAAAGGCAATATTGCTATTGCAATTGCCAAAGCTCTCTTGCTTGGATGTAGTTAGAAGAAGCGTGACCGAGGTCATCGCCAGCCACTTCGTGTGGTGTGAGCAAAAGATCCCCAGCCACTCGGCAAGCAAGTAATTGTGCAGCTTGGAGGGGTTCCGGGGTCTGTCCACGGTAATTTCATCCATTCATTTGCCAGTGGCGGTCCGACATGCGTGCGCCCAGCCACAGATGAGCAGCATTCACCCATGCAGACACTTGGAAACAGGCGCTTAATCTGATGGAAAGATGGGCGCCGGGCTCAGATCATGGCATCTTGCTTGGCTCTGATGCTTTTGTATGCGCAGACAACGCATCTTCACGCCATTCTGATCGCGTCGACAATCACCAGCCCCTGTCCAGCCGATTGATTAATTACTCAATGGCCCGCCAACCGACAGGCCCCAGACGCCTATAGGAGCAGGACGAAAGACGGTCTGGCCGACCGGGACCCCTATTTTCTTTTTCCTGCGTTGCATTGCATTAGCCCGGTCCCCACCCCATATCGATTTCTGTTCTGACCGACTTCTCTGCTGCTGTCGCGTGTCTCCGTTTCGTTCGCATCTTCAGAGGCACAATTCATCCTGCTACCGTTCAAGACGCGAGGGATAGAAGGCCAATCGTCTCTCTACCGGTGTCTGCCGGTCTGTGTTTCTAATCTAGCTTGTTGTGGCTATATACCCCTGACATCCTCCAATTCTTGATTCCTACCCACAGCCAAATCGCCTGATACAGCCAGGGGATCATCAGATCGCGCTCATCATACATACGTGCAGTCTCTGAACCAGACGCAAGACAAGCTTCTTCGACTCTAAATAGTTTGGAGGCATCTTCGCCAAACAAGCACAAACACAATCAGACATAGATCCATAGTCTATCCACCATGGACCCAAGATACAACAACAACTTCGTGCCCCCGACCAGGGCACCGTCCGCAGCGCCTTCAATGGCCGCGTCGGATTTGACCTTCTACACCGCTCGCAATCAATTCTATGACGTCGAGACGCTAGACGAGGAGAGACCCTCGCCGCCGCCCCAGAAGCGCGTGTCCAAATCTCGCAACAGCCACAGGCGACGCGGGAGCCGAGCCAGTATTGACCGTCCGCCATCCGCACAGGCTATCAAGCGTCATGATTCTGGATATGGCTCCAACGGGCACAGCTCCAATGGATACGCTTCCAACGTCGTGAGCCCGAAGCCATCAGTATCGCAGTATCGCCCAGCCACGGCCCATGCAAAGCGGCCCTCAACCAATGCTCTCACCCAGCAAGGCCGCGCAGGACAAACCACGCGCCGTCGTGTCCCGAAGACCTACCAGGCCTCCAACAACGAGTCGGGCCTTCATCTCGCCCGGCCATCTACCTCTAATGCCCGGCGCTCGAGCACCTTCTTCCACTTCCCGGCGGCGAACGACCCCTTGGCGCCCAGGCAGGATTTCAGCACCCATGCCGACTTCACCACTCATGCAGACTTCACCACTCACGCCCCTACTCAGTACCGCGCCAGGTCCAGGTCCAGGCACACAGACTATCAGACCATCGACGACTCCAGGGGCGGGTTCGGTGGCTGGCTCAAGCGCACCTTTGGCAGTTGCATGTCGGCAAAGGAGCCCCGGGGCAGCGTGCGTCACTACAGGCCGGAGATGGATGATTCGTATTACGAGGAGAAGAGGGCGCCTCACCCGCAGGGCTGGCAGGGCCAGCCTCTCAAGATGAAGAGCTATTAATTTTTGGGAAATCGATATGACGAGATGATTCGGAATCGTGTGTTGTTGCTCGGCTCGGTCGCAAACTTATGATGGACCGTTTGTGGTCTTTGGGCTCAGAGCAGTATTTGTGAGTTTATTAAAAATAATCAAAGGTAATCAGTGCATTTTGGCGTTAGATACATGTAACTAAATGAATGAAAAATAAAGACGTTTAATTCCTTCCGAATACCATCACCAAGATTGAAGGGCTAATCCTTTTATACCAATTTGAGCATGTGATAGGTTTCAGTGGCTTTGCCTCAATAGATGCAAATAGGTATCCCCAATGTGTCAATATCACATCAACTACAAAATCTCATAGTATGCAAATCAATAACAAGAATTCCAGAAAGATCTCTCGAGCTTATACGGTAGACCCTACACTTCCGTCGATTATCCTGCACATGGAAACGTAGCTGGTTTTATTGGAATGCAAGGCCACTATAAAATACTCCCCTAGAGCTGACTTGAAGAGCCTTGATGAACGCTTGTTAGATAGGAGACTATTAGGGCGAGTGAGCAATTTACGTCATGAGATGAAGCAGGCACGTTCAATGGCACGTCTTGTCTCATTCACATCCCAGCCCAATCCAACTAACACTAACACGAAATTTTAGACTTGCCGGACACGTGAATTGTGAGACACGGCGAAGGCGTAAATACCCGCCGCCATATTTGGTTCAGGTGATTCACTTTCTCTTGAAATACATCTCATCAAGCTAGCCCTTGCATTAATTCCAATATACAGCCGGGGTCAGGGCTTTAACTGTGGCTGAACGGCCCAAGCGCTTACGCTGATTCCGGGCAACTTATTCCTCCCATTGTTCTTCCTCAATCTAGTTGGAATTGTACTACATGGACGGTTTCCTATTACTGTCAGTCTATAAATTAGCCTTTGCTTTGCTTAAAAAAATACTGCTTCCTCGTACAGGAGGAGGGCTGTCCTCATTAGACACAACTCCAAACTATCGCGGCAAACAACACTTGTAGTTGTAACAATCTCAGAGGTTGAAATCTATCCAGTTCCTCCGTTAGATGGCCGTTTAGTCGTGTTTGCTTCACATCTTCTTTTGTTACCTAGTTTCTGTTTCAAAACCGCTGGAAAAATGTTTGGATTCAAATAGTAGCCGACTGTACTGTTGCATGGATTTAGTACTAGCGATAAGTAGCACGACGGCTAAAAATGGTTCTCAATGCGGAAACTGATTGCTTAACTCGACTTGATGTATCTATTCGTTTGTCCGCGGAATCTGAGAGCCGATATCCACAATGCCGGAGGCCGGTGTTCTTACATGGCCGACAAGCCAGGGGCATCTCCACGAACAACATAGACGCCAAGGCTCAGCGGGGTCGCTCGTTGTCCGAGATCAAGCGCTAACAATAGCTGGTTGCCGTACAAGGTTGGTCAGCCCGGCAAGGAACAACGACCAAGTGCGACACTGACACCTCAATCTATCCGATGCGACATCCCCTTCGCTAATGACGGCCTCGAGAGGGTTACTCTACCAAGTTTCCCCGCTCACCATGTACATATAAAGGGGTTTCTCGATGTGCTAGCCAGGGAGTCTCTTCGTACTGTCCTCACACTTAACATAATACCACGTCTATTCTCAACCTAGACCAAAAACATCAAGCCATCATGTCAAAGATTCTGGCTGTCTTCGGAGCCACTGGCATTCAAGGCGGCTCTGTTATCAGAGCCGTTCTTGCTGACCCCGTGTTGTCCAAAGAATATACTCTTCGTGGTATCACACGAGACGTAGCCAAGCCTTCTGCCAAGGCTCTTGCTGATCAGGGCGTCCAATTGGTTTCTGTAGGTGACTCTACAATCCATTGCCAATGGCCAACGCTAATAATAAATCACTCTCTAGGCCGACATGAACTCTGTTGAGACAGCTCGGCCCGGCGTCGAAGGCGCCCATTCCGTCTTCCTCGTAACCAACTTCTGGGAGAAGTGTGATCACGAGCTAGAGTTATCTCAAGGAAAAGCTGTTGCAGATGCCGCCAAGGCTGCTGGGGTCAAACACCTCATTTTCTCTTCGCTGATAAATGCCACCGAGGCCAGCAAGGGTGTTCTTCCCAATATTTTCCACTTTGACTCCAAGGCTGCCATCGAGCAGTATATTCGTGATATCGGTGTCCCCGCTACGTTTTTCCAGGCTGGGTGCTATATGTCCAACTATTTCGAATCATTCCGCAAGAACGAAGATGGAAGCTATACGCATGCTTTGCCAGTTGATGGTGATAAGGCCCAGTTTCCGCTCATCGACGCTGCTGGCGATACTGGTAAGGGCGTCGACTTGATTCAATCACCCGGCCGCGTGTTCCATGGACGAGACTAACACTTGACCGTACAGGGCTCTTTGTCAAAGCTGCATTGAAGGAAACTACGCCCTCCGGCAAAAGAATCCTCGGTGCCACTGAGTACATGTCCCCGAAGCAAATTGTTGCAGACTTTACGGCCGCCACCGGCAAGAAGGCTTCATTTGTGGAGGTTCCAAGCGAAGTTTTCAAGTCATTCTTCCCGCCAAACGTCGCGCAAGAGCTCCTCGAGAATATGCTTCTGCTCCAGGGCCCCGGCTACTACGCAGGCGCAGACCTCTCACCATGTCTAGCGCTTCTTGATCGCAAGCCAACTACGTGGAAGGAATTTGCCGAAGCAAATAAGTCTAAGTGGGAATAGGAAAGGACAGATGATGGATTCTTGAGAGGCCGAGATGGTGGAAGGATGAGAATGTGGCATTGCAACACCCATTCATCCAGAAGGCGAACCGAGCAATGGAAACTGTTGAAAAAAGAAAACTTGGGTGAATGCATATATTAATTATGGTTTAGGCTCTGCAAATTCTTTCAACGTGAAAAAGAATTAGAGGCGGCTGATCCCATAATCTGTTCCAGCTGAGCCACCGACTGTTGAATCTCTTCTTGACTGGGAATGTTGACTACTAAAAGATAGAACACATCCTTCTGGAGCAGCTTCTTCACAGGTTTCTGTCTTAATAAGCCTCCGGGCCTTGAACCATGCGATGGTCTGCCTAAGGCTTTTCCCCTTTGTTCTCTCCTGGCAGCCAGTCTCTGAGGTAGGCCTTGAGTCGCAACATGCCCGCCTGTGAGCAAAGAAATGATGGAGCCGCTATTAGCCGCATGGTTAGGGTCATTGAAGCGCGACTTCATGGGCGCTCGATTGTCAGCTGATGTAGAGAGGGATGTTCCCGGATTCTCTGCTTCCTATTATGATATTAGTACGTTGGCCACTCCAGAAGCAGGTAGGCGACTTACATAAAATGCGTGTGACCTTCGATCGAGATAGTCATTCGTCCACTCTCCGGCACTCTTGAACTTGGCCATTATACCTGAAGACTTGGAGCTTTGCGTCTGAGGATCCCCTCCTGTATGTTCCGCAGCAAGAGTGTATATCGCCTGGTCCAAGTCAGGGTACACCAATGGCGCTGACTCTGGCAACTCAGCCACACCATATGTCTTCCCATTCGTAAGTCTCATCTTATTCATTCCCTGGCTCATCCTAGAAATATTGGGATCCGGGCTACCGTATTTTGCCGCTGTCTGGTCAATGTCTAGCCTCTCCTTCGTGAAGAAGGTCTTCTGGATTGAGCTAGATAAAGCACCGAGAGGACCCGATTGTTGGCCGGGAACTTCGTCCTTGAATTGCATCACCATTGCGACGAGGCCGCGAGGTATAAAGACTTCTTCGTTGACTCTATCGAGGTATGTGTTTCCGCGTGATCGTCCCTGAAACTCGCGAGCTGTTCCGGCGATGATTTGGACGACAAGACCGGTAACTTGAGTTGATACCGTTGGTACGAATCCAACGACGCTCGCGGCGACAAAAATAGCGTCCAACCATTTTGATGCCTAGGAGACGTCATCAATAACAGTTCATGAGAGGAACGGGGATGTAGCGCTTCAAAACTAACCTTGTTGGCGGCGTCCAAATCTTCTATAAATCGAATGAACACGTCCTGGCTGATACCACAGTCGGAGAGGATCGGGGCATATGCACGTACGAAACCGCGATCCTTCTGCCTGGGACGTCTTTGGGGAAGAATTACAGGACAGGGAAGCCGCTGAGTTGGCCGAGGCGGGGGGCCAGCCATTGAGGCTAAGCTGCGGACCATGGCCTCCCTCTTCTTGACTTTTTCTTCCTCGGATTCATTTCCAGGAGTTTCTTCTGAAGGGGGCCTCAGGCGCTCCGCCATATCGTCAAGCTCCCACACAGCCTCGTCCTGTCCTTGACCATCATGGTGATCTGCCAAATCCATTGTGTCGATTCCTGATTGTTCGTAGGGAGGTCGCCCGGAGGAGCTTGATGCAGAATGTGAGGGCGAGGGGCGGTTTGACGAGGAACCATCTCGGGCTTTGTGAATGGCCTCCGAGGTGAGGCCTAGACCCGAGCTCAACAATTTCGCTATAACGGGCATTTTTCCAACGGCCACTAGAGCTTCCGAGAAAACGATGGTAATTAAGACTGTTCTTTTGATGAAATTGATGCTCGGGCGGTAGTTGACGTCTGAATGTCTATGAAGAGGGTGAAGAGCATGGTTAGTGAGCTGCTGCGATCTCTCTTTTATCAATTGAATCGTGGATTCGCTTAGGCGGCAAAAAGCTGCCGAAAGACCCTGTCGTAGTTTGAAGTTCGCCGACCTCAGCCCCTATGAGGCTATGACGTACAATGAGGCCTTGCAGGGAATTGGTTAACTGGTGGGTGCAGGAAAGTGGCGATGGAGGAGCAGAAAATGCAGATCCTTGCTGGATCTGCCAGACAAGCGAATCCTTATTATTAGTTAGCGCATTCACAGCTCGCATGGCTTTACCCTTTCATCTCAAGCGAGGAGCCAGCCCTACACCAAGCATCATCCGTCGGGCTCGGTAAACCCCGACTCGCCGATCTGACGATGTAGCCGAACATTGCTACGCCTTGATCGATGCAGCACCATCGCTTGAAGCGCTCCATAACAGCTCAACGAAAGTCAAACGCCGGGGGTCTGAGCCTACTAAGAGTTTATAGTGAGCCAGATAGTAACGATGCAAGATAAGCTATGAGATGCGGTGGGTTTACTTGCATGTTTCGCGTCCGCGATAGCATCACCACTGGGACGTTGAATAGATATATTCCTAAGAAGTGCAATCATGCATCGAGCCATTCACCGCAAGAACGCTCAAGACTTACTGCATAATGAAGAACGTTTTTTATTGACATGATCTTCCTGAGAGAGTCTCAGCGTCAAGACCAGACGCATCAAAAGCGAAGGGATCTATAGGGTAGGTAGAAATCTACTAACTCTGAGCTCTAGATTCATTGTTTCAGTGCATTTTTCCTAGATGAGATGTTCAATGAGTCACCTACTCTTTTTCTTTCTTTCCTTCTTTTTTCAAAATCAAATATGGAACTATAGATAAAACTTATCATAGTTCACAGTCAATCACGATGTAGGTACACCAGGTAACCACAGTGAGAAACTACCTCGTGGTTGCTAATGGTTAAGCGCCGTTGAGGGGCAGACCATGTGACATATCATGCTCGACTCGCATCTCAGTGGCGGTTGTTGTGCTCGGACTCAAGAAATCAATGAGTAAAACGCCACATCTCATTCCTATTGGGTGAGTGGAACATCTCGGCTGGACCATAAGCTATGGTGGAGAATGGCTATTTACCAATGCAATCCTAAACATCTTCTCCAGGCCTGTCTAGAATCACTCCGACATTGAGATAGCACTTCAGATGAACAACTGCTCAGATCGGGGCTAAGACGTTCTGGCGAGAGCAATGATAAGAGCACAGAATCACGGCAATCCCCGCTTCACACCCACAAGGCGGCAGAGAGCAAATAGTCTGTGTGCTAGAGCAACTCAAAATGCCAATATTTGGACGGATCTAGATTTCCTACAGCGTTAGCTTTGGACAACACGGACGCTAGGGCCTCGACCTATATTATGATGCATCAGCAATAGGCCACTTAATGGGTTGATCTGCATAGTGTCGCATGACTGGGCGTAAGCTGAAAAACCCATCCGTCCAATCACCAGAGTTCTGTCTAAGACATTGGTCTAGATTAATGAAGCCACTCAAGCCACCGAGTCCTCTCATAGGCATATCCAACGGGCAATTGATTTGCTAGTACTAATTCAGCTCTCAGCCTCAGGTGCCGGTGGCCAGCTAACTCGTATTCCTGTTGCTGCCCGATTTCTAGATGGCCCTGCCTTTTAATTTTCTCAGGTCTTCAGTCGAGGTACGATTCCTGCTCATGGGCCTGGCTTTGCACAACTTGGACTGACGCCAAGTTTGCTCAAGAAAGTCGACTCTTGTCGCATAGCACTGTGACAAAGGTGTAAGCCGCGGTGAAACAGGTGCTCTCGTCTTTCTTTGTCAACATGGATTGGCTACCAAAACCCCGCTATTGGGCCCGTTTATTCATCTTCCTTTCCTTTACTGGCCTCTCAACCCAGCAACGCGATCCCATCATCAACTTTTGCCGAAGATGGGGCCACCAAGCAGCAATCGTTGACAACAAGCTCTACTATGATGGAGGCCTCGTCACCTATAATGGTGACAATAGCCATGAGAACCTTACCAGTCAGTGACCTGCATTATTTCACATCATCCAAACCTCACCTTCTTATGAAAGAAGAGGGGTAGCCGCTTCAATGGTACCAGGACTGACCACCAATGTACGCAACAACAGATCCGTTTCTACTCTACCATGACCTATCAGCCGTCGACCCCTCTGGCATGCCGCCGCCGTACGCGAACCTTAGCAAGAACAGCACGATTCCCAACGTCAATGGCGGCATCTTCTGGCCAGACACGGTGAACAAGCGCATCTACCTCTATGGCGGCCAATTCTACAACGAAAAGCCATGGTCGACCAATAACCTCTACTCATACGATGTCATATACAACAACTGGCAATTGACCTCCTCCCCACGAACCAACGGCATCGCGAGACTTGCATACGGCGCTGGTGTTGCTGTCCCCGAGCGCGGAAAGGCATACTACTACGGAGGCTGGATGAACAACTACACGGATCCCAACTGGTCCGGCCCTGGCGCCATGACTTCATACCTCCTCGAGTACAGTATGGACGACGACACGTGGACGAACAGCACGGGGCCCGACAACGTTGGGCGCGCAGAAGGGGTGATGCTCTCCATTCCAGCAGGGGATGGAGGGCTGCTCATTTATTTTGGCGGCATCGCGACCAACAATCTCGGCGTTCCGCGGTCCCAACCCATGGAGCAGATCATCGTATATGATCCCGTGAGTAGCAAAAGCTACATGGAGAATGCGACTGGTGACATCCCTCCCAACCGACGCCGGTTTTGCGCTGGCGCCACTTGGGCGGATGACAGATCGGCTTATAACATGTAAGTGACTGGAAGACTCCATCCTCACTTTCGTAAAAGTAGCCTATTGACTAATAGAAATAGCTATCTGTACGGCGGTCTACCTGGTCAGCCTGGAGATGGCCCCGGCTTTGATGATATCTACGTCCTCTCCGTCCCCAGCTTCACTTGGACCCGTTTCTATCCTCCAGATGGCTCGAACGGCACTGTCCCGCATTGGGGCCTGACGTGCAACGTCGTCGGCAGAGGCCAGATGATTGTCCAGGGAGGTTTCTTCCCGCTCGACGACAAATGTGACTCTCCCGCAGTCTGGGGGCTTCACAACATGGACCTAGGGAGGCAGAATAACGAAAGTGCCATATGGGCATTGTTTGATCCAAAGAAGACCAACTATGTAATTCCATCGCCTCTTGCGACCGTCATCGGCGCTCAAGCCACAGGCAAAGCAACTGTCACGGCGCCTAAGTCCGGGTGGCAGAATCAAGATCTCAGAGTCTTGATGACCAGAACAGCATCGTATGCAACCAGGACGCCGACGAGGGCGATCCCTACATCTACGGGTAGTAGTTCCGACGACGACCACAAGTCTGGGTTGTCCGTGGGAGCTATTGTTGGAATCGCAGTAGGATCCGTTGTTGGCGCGACGATTATTATCGGCGTCATTTGGTTCTTCCTTTTCCGACGATTCTTAGCTCGTAAGAGGGAGAGGGAGCAGCAACAACAGCAACAGCAACAACGACAGCCTCAAGAGCAGCGGCCTGAAGTGTCGCAGATGTCTGCAGGGAACTCCTACTACAACTCCCAGAGCTACCCGAACAGCAACTGGGCATATTCGCCTGGCAGCCATGCCTCCACAAGCTCGCCACCCCCGTTTGCGAGCCTGTCGCCTCATTATGGGCATCAGAGTCCAGTGACCGAGCTTCCTGTCGAGTACCCACCAAGCAAGTTTGCTGGCTATGGCTCTCAGTACACCGCGCATGAGGCTCCTACACCGGAGAGAACTCCAGATCAGCGCTGACCTTTACATGCTGGGACTGTCAAACCACTTTCAGCGTGCGGGCGAAGCACGTATGCAAAACAGCCTGCTTATACATACAAGCGGAAAAGGACGATTTTATCTCAAGATTTGGTAGTGTAGGATAAGGGGATAATGGGATCATGTTTCGAAATAAGTGTTATTTGGCAATCCTCTTTGCTGATGCTTTTGTGAAGAGTGTCGCACTCAGTAGCTGTTCAAAGGCGGGGGGACGAGAGAGCAGGGAGCAACGCTTTTGGTTATTGTCTGCAAGAAGGAATATAAGAGATATATTTCTTGCGAGGAAAGCACTTATTCTTAGGTGTTATCTGTCAATGTAAATTAGCTCTGGATATTTAATGCACATCTTCTTAGGTTCTAGCCATTTGATGAGATGTGGTTTGGCGTATTTCCATAACATTCTATCTCCTACATCCAAATCCTGATTAAGTGACAGTAAAAACCGCCCATCAATACCAGAAAATGTTTAGTTCCTGTACTGAAACCGGGATGAAGTAGTATCTTGAAATATGGTAACAATAACAATGTCATAATTCCACGTGTGTATTCTAAACCTATTGATAGTATGTACGTTGTCTCAATATCTTGACCAAACTGTCCAATGCAATGCCATCCACCTCTTGCCTGTACTTAGCAACGTTCAATTTACGCCTCTTCAGGGGATGCATAAGGCCATCCATCCACCTTCGTGGCAGCGAACTTGGATTGTTATCCCCAAATATCATCTCCCCGGTCTGTATGTCGGCTTCAACCCAAGTGCTTGGTGTCGTCCCGTATTCAAAAACAATATAACGAGATGGGCTCAAGAGGTTGAGCTCGCTACTGGCAGATTTCTCAGCGGCTCCATAGTGCGCTCGAAATGTTAAGAGATGGGGAAGCTCCTCTTCAATCCGGTTGAAGATCGTTTTCCAAGTCCCGTTAAAGCTATAGACAGCTTCCGCCTCGCGGCTAAAACCGAATGCTCCATCGGGAAATCGGTCCCAGTCGTGCGTCGGCAACTCCCATTCCTCTAGATCAGATTTCGCTAGTACCAAATAGGTGGCAATATAGCAGTCTTTCAGTATCAGACACTTGAGTGACTTTTGAGCCAGTACCCAGTCAAAGTGCTTATGGTGTGATATCGTAAAGTTGTAAAGCCTGAGATTCCTTAGGCGTGAGAACAGAAGACCTTCACCATCAAAGTACGCCGGTATGCTACCCCAGAGCTCATTGAACCCAATATCCAGTTTCGTGAGCTGGTCGGCAAGGGGGGTAAGCCAGTATTGGTGTAGAAATGGCTCAAATAAGCGGCGCTCGATTTGCCACAGCTGTCCATTGGTTGTCCCTACCCCAGTATCCTCGTTCGCAATCTGAAGTTTGAGGTGATTTATATCTTTCATGACATCTCGGAATAAATCCGTCGTCACAAACTCTGGGTTGGGGAGGTTCTGCAGATTTACTAACACCAAGTTGGTAATTCTGCTGACTTCTAGGTCCTTGGCTCGTTGGCGGATAGCTGAGAATACAGCTCTGAGGGTGTGGTTTCGAGATGACGGTGTTTCAAAGTACATCCCGCTGGCTTCGTTCTCGTATTCAAGTCCAGCACAGTGCTCTGAGAAGCTGACTTGCACTGTCTTGAGCTTACCCAGCTCCAATACTCTGTTGATGGCGTGGGTGAAAGCAGGGTAGACACCCTCTGATTCCCAGGCACTGAACGCCTCAAAATCAACTTCGAACAGGGTCTCCGGGTAAGTTTCAATGACGGCAGCCCTTGCGACGTCTCGGACTACGGGGCTATCAAGCATTTGATGCCACGTCCGGAAGTCACCTACGCCCTCCCCATGACGAAGGGTGATGGTGTGAAAGAGATGCCGAACAGCCAAAGAGTTCCACTGACGGCACACAAGCCGCGCGCGAGAGATATGCTCAGCATGGTGCCTGTCGAGTCGTTCGGTCCCCCCTGGAGCGGTAACTAGGCCCAGGATCTGGCTCAGTATCTCCAGCGGCAACTCGTTGACCGGCATGGCTCGGGATTGCACTGTCAGGCATGAATGCGACACGGGATTCAAGAATAAACAGTTTAGGTCAAATCCGCGGCATTCTGATGAGTTTCTCGAATTTCATGTTAGTGCCGCAAATGACCCCATCAACGTCTGATGAAACAGGGAAATGTGGTGCCATTCATCAACAAGGATATTATGGAGGCCTGGACGAAAGGGTTCTTAGTCAGCACGCATGCGATTCGCGTTCTGAACCTCGGCTTCGACGCCGGAAAACTGATCAGGAAATCCGGGCGCAGTCCGGTGATTCATGGCTTTCTTTGAGGATAAACACGGAGGGCATCGCCAATGAGCGATAATGTTCTGTCAATACACCACGCCCAGAACCAATCATTAAAGAGAGAGAAGTAACGCAGGAAGAACTGATGCCATGTGAAACTCAGCTACACCCGGGGATGTCCACTTCCGGTATACGGCTTTATCAACCGGGTTTTGAAACAGGGTTCTGCTCTGTTGTTTTCAAATAGTCTTCCTCACCGCTATCAGAATATATCAAATCTAGCTCCCGGTTTTCCTCTGCGCGTGGCGCACTGATTGAAAGCTACTATTTTTTTTGATAGCTCCGAAACTATCGGTTAGCTTTGATATAAATCTAGTGAGAGTTTCTTACAACTATTGATGCTAATCAGTTCGCAACTGCGAAATGGTTTCCTACTTGAAAAAAATTATCAAATGCTTCAAACTAACATTGAAGGCTGTGAGACCATGATACGGATACTGCTCCACCATGGAAGGAGGGAGCATCAAACGAGGAACTTCTACATTAGCTGGTTGAGGCATAGTTTCTTCATAAGGGCCCGGCCATTGGCACAGTGATCCCATGGTTGAAAGGAAGCGAGTCTGCAGCGAACTACTCATCAATTCCGTGTCAAATGTGCTTTATTACAGGAGAACAACTTAGAGAGAGGCTATTCTAGATAAGCGTAAACATGTGTTATGGCTAATGCAGTCTAGGAATATTGAGCATCTTCGAAGCTAGATTAATAACCTTTCATGCTCAGCAGGCAGCTAGATAGTCCTTAGCACCAGCTTTGCTCTCCCTAAAACTATCCTAAACAAATTGATAAAAGGGCATATTGTAAAGTATAATCTCTTAGGTTCATTATTTTAGTTTATTGTGCCTGCTCGATCATCTTCTCTTTTCCGTTCTACGGCATTCATCGATCTAACAAGCTGTACCGCAGACCTTGATCCTAACTCATTGTGTCAATTTTTGATGTATTTTATTTTTTACTATTTCACTCCGATACGAATTACTTGATGAACCTTCAAGCGCTCTCAAGCGTTTTGTGAACCGGATCATCACCAATTTGCGACATCTTCAGCTCTAAAAGCTGAGTCATGTGCGCTACAGTCTGCTGGTACTCTGAGTCGTTGTAGACATTGAACAGCTCGAGAGGATCCTTCTTACAGTCGAATAATTCCCACTCCTTCTCGTCCTCTGTGCCTGGTCTAGCTCCTGAGACACCCAGGGCTTCATTGTACCAATACATGAGCTTGTATCGCTGGTCTCTTACGCCGTAATGGGCGCGAGCATGGTGGATAATATCATTGTGCATCCAGTAGCGGTGGTAGGCAATTTGCTGCCAGTCCGCGAGCGTTTGGCCGAGGAGAAGGTCCCGGAACGATACTCCCTGCATGTAGTTGGGCATGGGGATACGCGCAAAGTCCAAAAACGTTGGGGCAAAGTCGACGTTACAGATGATATCGTTGCAGGTCGAGCCGGCCTTGATTTCTGCAGGATATTTGATCAGGAAGGGCATCTGGAAAGACTCCTCGTACATGAACCTCTTGTCAAACCAACCGTGTTCACCAAGGAAGAAGCCTTGGTCGGAAGTGTAAATCACGATAGTGTTCTCGGCAAGGCAGTTCTGGTCAAGATAATCAAGCATCCGGCCCACATTGTCATCAACCGACTGGATAACGCGGAGATAACGCTGCATGTAGCGCTGGAACTTGAATTCAGATAGCTCAGCCTCGTTGGAGAATGTGAATACCGTGCCGTCGTCTTTATCGATGAGTTTGGTAGCATTTGTCGGAATTTTACGCTGCGCTGATCCTGACTCTTGAACGACACGCTCGCCTACGCGGCTGCCACCGTCAGGCTGGACGACCCCGAGATCCTGGTAGGTCATGTCCTCTGCTACGCGCATCTTGGCCACTTTGGCCGCCTGGGCGCGGTTCCTGTAGTCGTCGTTGTAGGTCTCTGGGACGCGAATCTTTTCTTTGTAAAGATCTTTGTGCTTGTCATCGCATTCCCACGACCTGTGCGGTGCTTTATGATGGCACATCACGAAGAATGGTTTCCCTGTGTCTCAGGTTTCCGTAATCCAGTTGAGACACTTGTCAGTGATGATATCGGTTACGTAGCCCGGTTCAATCTTCTCCCCTTCAGACTCGATGAACTCGGGGTCCCAGTAGTCACCCTGTCCGGGCAAGACGGACCAGTAGTCAAATCCTGTGGGCTCATGAGCTGAGCCCTCACCAGATGCCACTTGCCCACCATAGCCGTACGGTAGCCTCCGGATCGTAAGTGTTTGGCGACATTTGGCATGTGCTTATTGATGCTATCATTGAGCGTCATAACTCCGTTGTCAAGTCTGGGTTGTCGCCGTCTGCGCCACAGCAAATCTGCTCTCAATGCCGATGTCGGAAGGTGGGCAACCAGTTCCATTCTCTCCAGGCATATTTCCTGGTCTCAAAACCCAACCCAGTGCTGATTGGTTTCGTAGGCTCGGTGTGATCGGCGACGTGGGCCTGATCGAGGATGCGGCAGCTGTGAGCGGCTCGGCTTACACTGCTCCTTTACGCAACCATCTCCTTCAGATCAAATAGAACCTCCCCGTCCAAGACGCTTACGAGGTATCAAGGCATGCGCATCATGTCGCGAGAGCAAGATTCGGTGCTCGGCCACCCTTCCACAGTGCAGCCAATGCCGACGCAAAGGACAAGACTGCCATTACCCAGCTCCAAAGAGACGACTACGACGTGACTCGCTTCCTCCAACTCAAGAGGCCTCTCCTGGAACTGACAAGCCAGCTGAGAGCACAGAAAATGGTTCGCCGATAGATGCTACTGGACTTGATTCTACTAATACAGACACTAATCCAACATCTCCAACCTCGCAACCAGTAGAATCAACCCATGGGCAATTGGAGGATGCAGAACCCGTCATGGACGGTATGCTCTCGCTGGTCGACACATTCTTTGACACGGTCTACCCGCTGCCCTCATATGCCTTTCTTCATCCTCAAACCACGAAAAGAAGATGCCGCGACCGATCTGTACTTATGGATCTCCTATCAGCTATATGTGCCGTGGCATCTCTCCACCTACATCGCGAGCCTCCAGAACTAAGCTCATGGATCCAAACAGCCGAGCAGAGCATCTGTATGAACCTTGAGTGTCCAACCATCCCTCGTCTTCAGACCCTCCTCCTGAGCATCTACTATTGGGTAGAATCTGGCCGCTTCCAAAGAGCATTTCATGTTGACGGCCCTTGCTGCTAGATATGCTGCAGCTATACGTCTCAACTATGAAAGGCCAGATCTCGATCCAGCTGCGCGGGAGGTACGCCGACGCATTGTTTGGTCGCTGAAGATTATCCAAGGATACTTCTCTGTAGGGTTACCCGAGTTTGAGCTGTGTCCGATTGAGGCAATCTATATCAACTTTCCCAAGTCTGAGGATGAGTTTGAGTCCTCGCGTCCCGGAGAGCAATCCGCCTACAGACTATATACCCGACTTGAGGGAATCCGACGGGATATCATGAAGCTAGGCAGAGGACTACATCCTCTGGACCAGCCTCTTTCTTCTCTAGTTGAGCTCATTCGGCACCATGAAAATATCTTGTCCGAGTTTTCTGCCGAACTACCGTACGGCAGTCGCATAACATCAGCCCAAATCGCCAGTCTTCTTGACAATCCGTGGTTGCCTCGATTATTAGCAATGCACGTGTCTTGGCACCAGGCAAATTGCGACTTATACCGCATTTCAATTCCGGGTTATCCAGACGCTGCACCATCTGTTGTCTTGGACGCTGTCGATCCCGCCCGACCTCTATTTGCTGAAGAGCAATGTCTCAAGCATGCGACAAATGCCATACAAATTCTCACAACCTTGAACCAAGAGAGTGCATCCCGCCATATGCTTAAATTTGACACCGCGATTTGCACGTACCATGCCTCGCGTCTTGTTCTCTACATCTCTCGTTTCGGAGAGAGCCCAAACCGACCCACGCCAGAGTTTGCCGCAAGTAGGGCTGAACTTTGTGTTGTGGCCCTCAAAAGTTTTTTTCCTGCCTGTGTTCCAGTGACGCCTATCATAAAGGAGCTGGAAAGCTCTATTGTTGTGTTCTTACAAAGACACAGCCATGAGCACGAAACATGGGGTGCTTCATCATCCAGACTACCACAGGCTAACCCTTCACATGAGCCGTAAACCGTGTCCCCGGCAGCTGAAACCCAGAGACTTGCTATTCATAGCTTGCTGCGGCAAGCTGAGTTTTCTGATACCGAGGATGATCATCCGTTGTCCACTCGTGCATAGTCTGCTGCCGAGCCTAGCCCGGGTTTTCCAACACCTCCATCTAACGCAACTACTTCAGCCCCCCCTGCGATTGATGACTCCCTCAATCCTCTCAACACGTCCATAAGCCCGGTTTCGAGCGCAAGTGGTATTGGAAATCGGCTTCCCTTAGATGATTCAGGAATTACAGGAGCGAATACCAGCTGGTGGGGTCAGAATATGCCATTAGCGATGGGCCCTGTCCCTGATGTGTTTGAGGATGGAGTATACCCGTTTCTTTCCTGGACCGGGCATCAAGATTGGGAGTGGCTATTAGAGTCGCCCAAGTAATCACACAAGCTGATCAACAAGTTTCTATTGGAACTGGAACTTAGTCTAAAGATTTACGAAATTGTAACGTTCAACTGCGTCAAATCCTCCTTACGAGAGCTGCTTCCGATCCAGAAAGTGTAATTACCCCCATCAACATGCCACTCGCCATTTACAAAGTACCCCAAGTCGTGATAAGGAATAGAGAAGTCAACCTTTTCTGACTGGCCAGGGTTGAGATTGACCTTTTTAAACCTGATCAACTTCATTACTGGGAACTCAATCACGCTGACCACTGGCCGGAAGTACAGCTGGACAACTTCTTTTCCGGCCATTCCGCCTGTATTCGTGACGCTGGCAGATAGGTTTAGCGTGGAATTGTCCCGCGCTCCGTCCACATTAACAGTGGGATTTCCAATTAGGAAACTGGTATAACTGAGGCCAAATCCAAACCGGAGCGGGGGCGAGCGTGTGACCTGCGGCCAGTGCCAGTCATACAGCAGGGCAGTTCCAAACCCGCCAACGTCGTCGGAGGGAAGAAAATCATAGGAGACCGGAAATGCTCCATTTGCCTCGGGGATGGTAACGGTCAGCTTCCCGCTTGGATTTGTTTCTCCAAACAAGATCTCGGTGATGGCATCACCGGTATACTCTCCACTGAGCCAAGAATGGAAAACGGCATTGGTAGGACCAAATATGGAATCCGGGAGTAGGAAGGTCTGTCCGGAGCTCATGATGAGCACTGTAGGCACACCGCTCTCCAGGACAGCCTTGAGCAGATCCATCTGCTGACCTGGGAAGTTCAGGTCGGCATGTGCGAATCCTTCTTGGTCGGTACGCTGATTGTTAATCGTAGCGGGATCGAATGTGCCGAGGCCAGACCCTAGCATGACGATAGCAATCCCAGCTTTCTCTGCAAGCGCAACGGCCTCCTTGATGATCTTGGCGTCGGCGTTGTTGGAAGGGAGTATGGAGTTGGTGCCCATTGAGTAGAGCACATTCTCTGCACCGAGCTTCTTTTCAAGGCTTCTGCAGAGTGTCGATCCGTAAACTGGATCTGTGGCATTACACGCAGCGTACATACCAGCATTGATGATGTCGGCATACGGCCCAATGACGGCTACCTGTTTAACATCATTCAATTTCAATGGCAAGAGTCCGTCATTCTTCAACATGACGACTGACTCCTGGTGATCTGTCTATTGATCTCCAGATGCTCTTATGCGCAAGGTTTTGGCCAAATTGTCTTGTGTATGTAGAGCGCGGTCGAAGGTGCCCGTCAGGAACGTTATCTCCAAAAGTGCAAGAACAGAGCTATTGACGAGGGAGACAACCTGCGCGTCCTCCTTGGCCTTAATGAGGGTTGTAAAGGCGCCATTGCCGCTCGGGTGTAGTTCATGCTGCAAACCGGCCTTCAGGGCCTTTTGTGCGGCATCCGTGGCGGATGAAGCAACCTTTGACTCGGTGTATAGATACTCGATGGCATTCGCATCGGACATGATGAGGCCCTTGAATCCAAGTGTGCCGCGTAAGATGTCTTGAAGAAGGTACTTGTTGATAGATAACGACGGTAGAGTAAGATGACATGAGTGAAAGCGGTTGGGCATCTCGGATTGGCTTCACGTACGAGGCACCGAGGTCATTGAGGATGTGATTGAGACCGCCAAGCATGCTCGCACGGTTTACACCTCCGCTACCTTGGCCATAGACCCAGTGTTTGATGGTTGTGGCGACTCGAACCCAGCCATTTTCGTCCTTTTCCTGCATCACTTGTATGTATCGTGTGGCAAACTCTCCGGCAAGGTACCCGTCTTCACCATACCTGTGTCGTGTCAATATAACGTTGATCGAATTCTAAATCGAATGGAGTCCGGGCTCATTACTCACATTTCTCCATTTCGGCCGTTTCTGGGGTCCTTGGCAAGATCAACCTCCGGGGATAGAACCCACTGAATTCCCAACGCAAGGTTTTCGTCCCGGATTGCCTCGATCGCTTTCCCATACAGTTCCAAGTTCCAAGATGATGCCATTGCATTGGTACCAGGGAATAGACTCCCGCCGGAGACCCAGATTCCATTGATGGAATCAGATATGGTAATATACGGAACATGAAGCCTTGAGCTGTTGATCTGCCCTGCTCGAACTTGATTCAATACAGGGAGAACTTCTTCGGCCCAGTTGAACTGGAACCCAGGTCCTATTTTCACGTGTTAATAAAACTAATGTGTGAATGAAGCAAGTGTCAGGGCTCTCCTACCAATCTGGCCATTCTGTGTCTCGCGGATGTGTTCAAACGAAGTTCGATTGAAGGTCAGTTTTCCATTTGATCTGCTTGCCACACGTCGGATTCCACCGAGCTGTCCGACCTTTTCCCCCTCACTATATTATCTTTTATTATATTAAAGGTTTAAAAGCTTTTTTATTAAGGCTATCCTCTGCTGAACCCTGATTTCTTCTATATCTTTTCCTCCTTTCTTACCGCCCTACTTATTCTTCTTATTAATAGTATTCTACTAAAACAATTCTACTTTAGCTATAAGGAATTAGAATTACTCTAATTTCTAACTTCTTAATATTATAATAACTATAGTATTAAGTTTATTCTTAGATATATATCTAAGGATATCTTATCTAAAGTTATATAGAGCTTTAATTTACTTCTTAGAGAGGCTTTTAAGTTTAATTTTATTTAATCTATTAATTTTATTATTCTTTATAGTCTTTATAAAACTAATAAGCTTTAGATTACTAGTATTAATCTTAGGCTTATTTATCTTTAGATAGATAATCTAGTTATCTTTAAGAAAAAATACTAGGATCTCTTTACTTAGTATAATATTAAAAACTATAGATATATTAGTATTAGTACTCTAACTAAAGAGCTATTAATACTTATTAGATTAGTTACTAAAAGATTTATACTTAGTTAAAGTATATAGATTAGTATAATATAAGATAAGTATATAAAGAAAGCTAGATAAAAAGAATAGCTTTAATAGTTATTTAATATATAGCTTATCCTAATAGTAAGTAAGTTATTAGTATAAAGATTTATAGAATTTTCTACTATATAACTATAATCTTAGATTAGTAAAACCTTTTTTTAATCTTTTATATTTATTATATTGAGTTATTAGGTCTGACTTCTTCTTTTATTTTAACTTTCTATCAAAACTCTCTCCGGTCCGACCTTTTCCTCCCAGGTCATTCGACCCAGAAGGTCAGCCGCACGATCTCTGGCAGGTAGTTTGGGGTCAAGGTATGGGACAAGAGGATCATCCCGGGTGTAGAGTGCCATGGCGCCCTCCCAACATGCCGTGTAGGCGAGTTGGGCTGCTAGAAGGACCTCGGCTTTCATCTTGATGATCCAGGAAACTCAATGAATAGCTGCAATTCTTCTGATGACCTCGAACACTTAGTTGCCCAATCCATTGAAACTATACTCCATGATATATACGCGATTCTTCTTACCCTGGTCGATTAAGCTTGATGCCATCCAGCTCCGCTCTGACGAAGATGTCCATTCCCCGCAAACAGGTTCAAAGGCCAACGTGCTAGTGTTGGATGGACCCAAGCCCCCAGAATATTCAGACGAGGCCTCTTCGGTAGTCGGTCGGAGGTCTCAGAAGGGTTAGCTGCAGTCCCACTGTTCATCTTCTTGGTTCGACATCCGCCATGTCTCCATCCCCTCGGAACCTGTCTCGGTGATTGATTGCCTCTGGGGTTTATGAAAAACGAAATTCTACAACACATAAGACGATGATGGCGGTAAACAAGTGGCTCCACTGATCAGCTGGCTCTTTCTTAGTCGAAGGGTTATACATGACTGGCAAACATACATCAATGATGTATACTGCAAAACAACATTGAATGGTAGCTGTTACCCTACACCCGGCTGTCTGCCATATTTTTACATTTACCTAAAAGACATGGCTATCAAATACACATTCAAAAGTCCTGGTCAGCGTAGTTTTGAACATCAGTTTGATCTATATATGCATAATTACTAACACAGCATTATAGAATATTCTCTAGCTTGTTAGCAAGATTAGATGAATTGTCTGTTACTTTTCAGCCAGATCTTTAAGGTGCTATCCCACCATTCCCTCTTTATGTATCTCAACGATACTCTCAGCTTTCTATGTGGTCTGTTTGAGTGAACCTCTTTATTGAGTTAGATCACGTTGACAAGTTTAATTTGGTCTTTGATGGGCAGACCCTTGTGCGAATAGAGTTCATGGCGTTGGCTGCAATCTTTCTTGAACTCCGTATTCTTAAGTTACCACCAGGCACTCGCATAGATGCATCCAAAAAAAATATATACAAGATTCTCTTTCCTCAGCCCGGACATGAAATCGAATGATTGTACTTGCATCTAGGGGAGCGTCGGGGATGATTGCTCCGAGCTCTAAATCTGTCTAACAAGGCTAGCCAAACCCACCAGAACTGTTTCCCCCTTGAGGAAAGGCTCCACTGACAAAGCAAGAGAATCGGGGGGACATCTATCCGGCCCTGGTTGAAATGTCAGAATCTGTCTGCAGTCCCTTTCTCTTCACACGGAATATCCCCAACCTCTTCCAGTTTGAGCCAACGTGTGTTCTATTCGAAGCCTACTCCACGGTTTATTATCAATCGCATCTGTCTTGTATCTCCTTCGTCTCTCAGATGACGTCAGCATCAATGGAGCGGTCTGACTCGAGCTTCATTTTTGTGGAGAGTGTTCGAGGCAAGCTTGAGAGTAGAGAACGCAAGATCGTTCGTCGTTACTGTATGAGAGGGAAGAATACGAAACCTGACACGAAAAAGAACTTGGATCGTAAGAGGTATGGCCTTCCTTCTGCAGCCGAAAAGCACATGTCCTCTTTCGAGGTACGGGCACCAGTGGACTGCAGCCCTCAAACTACATGTACCGATGCTGCTGGCAACAAGCGTAACCCTTTTCCGCCCACTGTCCGAGTAACTGGGGAGAAGCTATCCAAGCAGATCATCTCCAAGCTATGGTTTCCATTCCCGGATTTCACTAGTGAAGACACCGCGGCTTCATTCTCCGTCATCTACAACAGTGAGAGGTCCCTAATTTTGAAGAGCAGATTCCGGTAGGACCTAGACTAATGTACATAGACCTCCCTTGTATAATGCGGGCTTTCACGATTTGTGACTTCTCTGTTACCCTCCGATCCCAGCCTTCACCATGGCACGATTGGTTTTTCCTCGACGACACATATGCCCATTCTTCCATGATTTTTGCCTGTGCCGTGTCTGAAAATGTCATACAACGTGGCCCCTCTCAGCTAAGGATGTTTCACACAAGTCGGGCCATACGCCAAGTGAACACGGCATTATCCGATTCCACCTTGTTCATGAAGAATTCAAACATCGCTGCCGTTATCTGTCTCGCATTTGCGTCTTTCGTTTCTCATGACTATCACGCTACGGCCTCACATGCGACGGGGCTACGCCAAATTGTCTTGTTACGGGGAGGCATCGAGAATTTCGAACAAGTCCTGCAGCTATTGGTTGGAATGAGTCGGTAAGTGTACCCTCTACCTGCAAATCCATTTCTGGGCTGACAGTCCCTACTTTAACTTAGAATTGACCTGTGTCTCTCTCTTGCTGTTGGACACCATGCTATCTTCACTAGCAATCCCCTACCCCGCCTTGAGACCTGTGAAGCAGAATCGTCAGGGTTTTACGCTCTAATCCCCCCAATCCTTGTATACGAGAGATCTATTAGCCATCTCGTAGACCTCAGGATCTCCACTATCTTTCAACAGCTGCAGAAATTTGCCTTTGACTTGAATAATTTCACTTCTGGTGGCAAGGCCGTGTCAGAGGAAGACGTCTACCGACACTTGATTTCGGCTCAGTATGACCTCTTCGAACTTGACAATCAGTGCGAGAGTATCCTTGACGAGTGTGTGCGAATGACCCTGTTAGTAATGCTGGCTTCCGTTTTCCAAGTGCACAACGACCTGAAAGTGCAGTATGATTTTGCTGCAAGTCGGTTGCAAGACCTTTGCCTTCAGGTTGACTTATCTAACCCGGCTGTTCGGGAACTCATGGTTTGGATCCTCATGATGGGGGGGCTATCGGTCTTCAATTGTGATGATGCGTGGTTGAGAGATAAGTGGCGGGTAGTGTTGGAAGACGTAAGCCCATCATGGAGTGAGGTTCGCAGACGGTTGGAATCATACATTTGGATCAACCAATGCCATGACGGATCTGGATGGTTCAAATTTGAAAGGCTAATGCTCAGCTGAAGGATGGTGAATCCTTGCTACCGCATACTCTAGAGATAGTATGATGAAGGCGATTGATAGTTCTCAGCTGTGTGTTGATTCAGCCGAAGCCTATTGTGTATTACCAAGCTGACAAGTTTCTCTCAGTTATTTCTAACTGCTTCATTTAAGTCTCCATTTATAGGGTCAACATCGAGGCCAATGCCGGTTAGATAGCGCCTCAGGCCAGGATCATTTGCATAACCACACCCATGTGCCATATACGGAATAACTAAACTTCTATTCAGTGTAGCTTATGAATGTCGGGACTGCAATCCAGCCGCTCTGTATTAGCTCTGTATCGACGGGGACTCTCTCCACTGTTATACCTTGAATGGTTGCAATTGCTTTCCTTTTCAGGAACCATTTTCCGAAGAGACCATTCTAAGCAGAAAGACTTATGCCTGATTGACACGTACCTTTTTCTACATTCTCACAACAGTATGATGGATAGCATACTGGCGGAGCAATTGAGGACCGTTCTTAGGAGAAGTACTTTTGGGTACGAATCATTTAGATATAAAGCTAGGTAGCCTAGGAGTGTCTACAACGTAATGATTCCGACATATCCATCACGTGTGAGACGCAAAAGGAAAAGCTTTTTCGTCATACCAAGCCCGTTCGAAGTCTTTCCATCTTGTCATTCCGGTGATCGGGGTTCATATCTACCAAATTCAGAATCTTCCATCACACCTCATCTACATCTCAACATGTCAGTCCGGGAGTGCTGCCTGAGAGGCTTCCAGTGGGATGGGGCCCCAACCGGTCGTACAGACCATCTTGCTGGGCTCGATGTCTACATCTCCGGGACCAACGAGCAAGCTTCTATCTTGTTCGTTGCTGATCTTTTTGGCTGGAAATTCCCAAATATCCGACTTCTGGCTGACCACTATGCTAAAGAGGTCAACGCCACCGTCTACGTGCCTGACTTCTTTGGCGGAGAGCGTTTGCCAGACGAAATATTTGCCGAAGAGCGATGGACTGATCCTGCGCTGGGTGCGTTCATGCAACGAAACTCTCGCGAAGTCCGCGAGCCCGAAGTTCTTGCTTGTGCACGCGAGCTTCGAGCTAAACACCCGAAGCTTGCTGCTGTCGGGTATTGCTATGGCGGCTGGGCGGTCTTCCGCCTTGGGGCTAAAGAGCATCAGCCTCCGCTCGTCGACTGTATCTCGACTGGACACCCGTCAATGCTGACGAAAGCCGACATTGATCAAGTCGGCGTGCCAGTGCAGATCCTTGCACCCGAGATCGACTTTCTTTTCACGCCTGAATTGAAGCTACATGCTTTCCAAACCTTGCACACTTCCTCTCTGCCCTTTGATTATCAACACTTTCCTGGCGTGGAGCACGCCTCTCTCGTGAGAGGGAATGACGCAAAAGACGGAGAGAGGAAAGCGATGGCTCGCGCGAAGAACGCTGCCGTGGCATGGATTAGGCAATTCCTGCATGAGGAGTGACGGAGGAAAGCAATTCGGTTTGTTCCAACGATGGTCAAAAACACAGTTGAAATTCTACGAGGGGTTCATGACTAAATGTCTGGCTAGCTGGAATAAATGCGAGGATGAGACATCAGGACATTTGCCTTTGTCAAATGTTAAAGGTCGCGGTCTGTACTAAGATGATTATTATCCAGTAGAATATCAAATTCAAACCTGGAACTCAATGCCCATACTAATCGTCCCATGGGAAACCACTCAACTGAGAGCGAAAGGCTGTATTTCGCAGTTTATCAAAGGCGAATCAACTAGAAGAGCTAAGTCAGTCCTCCCTGTTCAAGGACCCTCTGCTATTGGAGACCTTCACAGAGACGAAGCTGGGGCAATTATCTTTTAGGCTTTAGTAGATTAGTTACACATAAGCAGCAGCATCTCTGCAGATAATATACAAATGCAGTGGTAGCAAAATGTAAACAAAGGAGACGAGCCTTGATCGATGCTATGCGATGTCGCATTGGAACGAAGTCAATTTCCGTAGGATCGCTCTTCACACTTAATTAACCTAATCTGGGAGGTCGAACGTTTCCAATTAAACTCTAGCGGGGCTTGTTAAATCGTGAATTAATTCACGGACCCTGAAACTGCCTTAGACCTTCGCACTTTCACACTTCTCCCGCTCCTATCAATATCACCAAACATCAATCAACAGACTAGTCTATAGACCGGCGCAATGCTTCCTCCAGAGATTTGGTCCCGCGTGTTTTCCAACTTTGTTCCACCGACCACATCGGAAGCCTCTCGGCACTCTCTCAAGCCCCTTTATTTCCTCTGCCTCGTCAGCCGCCAATTCCGTCAAATTGCCCAGCCTCTATTGTACCACACGATTTCCTTCGACTACCGACACTTCAAACAAGAGCCCGAGCTAGTTAGAAGCCTCTTTGAATCACCTGAACTAGCTCGTGCCGTGCGCAGGGTGGCTCTGCGCGACCATGGCCTAGAGTCTTTTGCAAGCCATCGGCAGCTGCTGGAAGATGTGATCCGCTCTTTACATGCTCCAGAGGCATTCAAGCATGGGCTAGAAACCCGTCTCGAAGCTGAAGACACTGGCTTTGCAACAATTGTTCTTGCAATGACAACTGCAGTACACGAGATCGATGTAGCCCTCTGCTACGACGCCGACAACTCAGCCCCAGATCTCTTGTCGTTTCTGGCAGGATCCAACAAAATCGCCGGCGAAGAAGATCCTCAGTCTCAGACAGAATACCGGAACTACGGTCTGCCGTCTCTGAAACGTATGTCACTCGGTGTTGGTGATGAAATGTGTGCCAGCATTTCCGGACTGGAATCAGTGCTGCTACGGCCAGGCTTGGAGCAATTGTGTCTTACGCAGGTCTATTGGCACTTGAGTGAGGATGATTCAACCCAATGGCCAGAAGTGACGTCCGATCTACCATCGCTGACTATGCATTCCGCGATGGTCAATGGCCACTCCATCCAGGATATCTTCACCCGGTTTCCGAATCTTCGAGTCTTCAGCTACACTGCAGCCGACCGGTTTGGAGGACGTGAGGAGGATTACCAGCATGATGATCCGGAGTGGGGTTTTCGCGCTGGCGAGGTCGGCCACTCTCTGAGGACGTTTGGAACCAAACTCGAGGCTCTGACTCTCAGAACAACACAGTACCGTGAGGGAGAAATGTGGGACGGGCAACTTTGGGACGACAGCCTCATCGGTTCTTTGAGAGAAATGAATGCTCTTCGTAAACTTGAGATTGACTTATCCGAACTGAGGGAAAGTGATGAGGGTGAAAGTTTGGCCGAATGGGCACGAAGTATGGTCGACTTTTTTCCGCCGAACTTGGAGGAACTGATCGTGCCGTACGTTGAATTTGACCCAGTATCGGAGAGAGTCTCTGAACTCATCAGGGGACAATATTTCCCTGCACTGCGACTAATTGCTATTGTTCCTGTTGGTGGCGTAAAAGTATACGTGCCGTCTATTAAAGACGAGGACATTCCAGGTTGGGCATTTATCCTCGGGGGGGTCGATATCTCATCAACTGTGGACGTGGTATTTAGCTTTCAGAGGAAGAAGTAGATGCACATAGTAAAACTGGCAGCTTTTTATCTACCCTCTTAGAGTTTTTGACATTCAAACATCCTTCTCTGAGTTTCACAATGTGAATCTCAGTTCGGGTTCTCCCCATTCAGATAATGATTGCAATTCGTGATTTTTAATCCGGCAGCCACATATTATATTACAGGCTGGTAGTCATCTTATTTACAGACCATTGACCATCTTTCTTGCCTCAGAGATTCCATTCTTGCTACTTTATCGTGGCATCTACCGCATAAGTAGTCTCCTTGAAACCAGCCCTTCGAGTAGGCTACATATCTGACGAACATGAGATAGCAATTGCAAGTAATTCCTAGAAAAGACCTGCATATTCACCACAGTTTCTAAAGGGCGTAGGACAGGCTAATTGACTCAATCCAATTTGACAGGCATCTCGTCCGCTATGCCATACGGACCAACGTTTGCACAGGTTTCGCCTGCTCCCATGCCATGTTATGAATGATGGCCACAGTGCACCGAGTTGAAACGCCGTTCTTGTAGCCTGATTCTCGGTCAATTACCAGTACGTTTACCCAACCGCTCTGCGGGCCAACTGCAGGGAACATGTCACTGTCCCAGAGCGCGATCGGTCCTTGAACACTGCCCGGCCCTTGCAGTGGACGCTCGCATGATTCATGAGTAGAGATACCGACCAGAGCTAGCTTTTTCTCATGTCCGAGATACAAGTCATCCTCAGTCCATCCATTGCCGCCTTGGGACCACCAGAGCCCGCAGTGTGCACCGCTGCTATCTAGGATCTGGCGAACGCTTTGGGGTCCCTTTGTGTGCACTTGATCCGTCAAGCACAGATATTCTTCCGTCGACGACAATGAAAAGAAGGAAAAAGAAACCACTGGGGCTGTCATTTCCAAGATTGCATTGGTAGGAGGAGCATCCGTTTGCTTTTCTCCCTCTGTACATGCTGGTCGATCTTCTACCAGTTTGCTATCTTCTGCTGTCCCCTCCCCTGCCTGAGGCTCAATGAGCTTCTCCCCGCTCTCCATGCTTTTAGAAGAGTCAAATTCTCTCTTACTGTCGGACTGTTGATGGGTGGCAGGATCGGGGTTTCCCAGAGCTTGTGGATTATCCCCCTCTTCAAAAAATCCGTTCGACGGTGCATTTCTACCCTTCTCTTCGATTTCAAGCCAAGCCTGCACAGCCTTTTTCCACTTATCAGGATAGATATCTTGGCCATCCAGCTTGAATTTGCGTACCAGTGGCAAAGGTCGATCACTGGCATCTTTGATCGCCTCAAATAGCCTATAATCAACCGGGCCGTCCCAGCCCGCCCACGACCAGCTGGGGAATCTCAGATCTGGCTGTCCGATATCCGTGCCCCTCGTTTCGGTAGGGAGCTTCTGGCCCCTACGTGGTATCTTGGCGGCAGGCGTCCAGAGAAGTGCGTGGATGAAGAAACTCTCTGGCAGTCCATGTACCGTGGCGCTCTCGACGTAGTCTTGCAGAACCAGCTCGTCCAGCACAGCAAAGATGCCAGCAAAGCCGTGGAGGATGTCTGGCTTAAACGTGAATTGACGTTTGCTGTACATCTGCACCAGTTCTTGATACACCCCCCAGGCTTTCCATAGTCGAGGGCTACCCTCAAGATCATACATGAAGGCCAAGTCTGATATGGGGTTATCTTGCTTTGGCCGTTGCTGAACCTCGCTGTCATCGAATAGTTCTCCGGCGAAAAAGGACGTGTACTCCTCGTTCACCCCGCCCTCGACCAAAGTTCCCCGATTGCATTCAAAGTAAAACGCGTCAGCAGAAAAGTAGATACATCTTTTCGATAGAAGCCGCTCCTGCAAGATCCACCCCCTCGTGTTCCAGGTAGATGCCTGCAAGGTCAAGGGGAGCGGGCTAGGACCCCAGACGAATCTGCACTTTCGATTGCCCTTCTCCTGAGATACGCCGTCCTCGCCTTCGTCCGAGAGAGACAGATCTATTGTCTCGATCTGCTGGCAGACGCGTGTTCCAGGTGAAACACCTGGGAGCCCTGCATCAGCATTATCGCCGTGCAGGGCAACAATAGTCGCGTGAGCCCTCCCATACACGATATCCATGTTTGGAATGTCCCTCGCCTTCTGTGAGGCATCGTCTTGCACGATGCAGATGGCGTCGACCCAAAGTAGTTGTTCTCCGAGAGAACGTGTTGCGTTCATTGCATCCTTGATTGTCTTTGGAAAAGGAACAGAAGATAGAGCCCCTGGTCGCTTTCTCTCCTCAACATTGTTCAACAACGTCATGTACATGTTCACTTTACCCCATGTGTAGCTGAGTACAAAGTATTGATCGCTGGAGGTACCATTTACAAGGCATTCCTGAACGACATCGATGAAAAAGAGGGGGATATCGGTTTTGATCCGGTTCCCGGGTCGTGGGTGGTTGCAAATCGGGCCGTGATTATGGTCACAATCCTTCAGCCACCTGCTCATGAGTTTAAAATCAATCTGCTGTCCCCCATTGTTGTTGACGGGCCCATCAGCGTCTTCCAGTAACGTTTCCAGTGCAAGTGGTGTGTCGTTATCATCTTCCCATGCCTGTCGAAGAGCGACACGAAAGTTTTTTGGCGTTAGCAGTCGCAACTCTCCCGCATAGGAGAGGCCAACATCCACTCTCAAGACGCCCTCGCCATCTAATAACCGGCCCAACATGAAACGAATCCGCTTCCCCCCTTCCTCTATTTTCTCAAAGTATGTATGAAGCTGGCCCTTTGTTGTCGTGATCAAGGAGGCTGCCATGTTACAGACCGCGCATTCACTCTTCCGGAACAAGATTGTCTTCCAGTGTCCAATGCTAGGGATGCATGAGTCTTCAGCAACGAAGTTGAGCCCTACATCTTCTGGGTCCAAAAGTCTGCACAGCCACTGGCACCAATAGCACAGGCCAGGATTGGTTTGCCTGCCCGCCAAGCCAGCTTTCCTCAATAGCTTTCGCTCCAGCCTTTCGTCATTAGCAAGGAGTTGGTCAGGTGTACGAGGAGTATCATCATTGAAAAACTGAGCTTTGACGTAATCCTGAATATCGAAGACCATGTGTCCATTTCGGGGATCGATGTTGACCAATCGCTGATCAGGGACCATGTTGAATACCTCGCGTAGGGTTCTCTCTGTCTCGCCTTCTTCTTCCACGGGCTCATCATATCCTAAGCTGAGTTCTGATATTTTCTTTTCAATCTCTTCGTTAATTAATTCCATGCCATCTGTCGCCGCTGTGGCTAGAACCCTTAAACGTGTGGCGTTGTACTCATAAAGCTCATCCAAAGCCATGAATGCGTATCCTCGATTCTCAAAGTTGTAAGAAGACTTGAATCTCGCAAGCAACTCCTCCTTAGCCAATCGATGCATAGAATTCTCAGCAGGTGCCTCGGCTAGCACTTTCAGGTTTGTGACCAAGTTGGGGTACCAGTCTACGTTCACCTCTGGGGCTTGCAAGCTTGAGCTAGCTCTGGTGCTTTCGTTGAAATCGTCAGACACGATCAGAGCATACTCTACTAAGCAGGTCAGATCCTGCAGGCTGCCAGACAGAAAGTACTGGTGACCCAAGATATGCGAGTATTCAAGCTGTGACCGTGCCTTGTCTGGATAATCCCTTGGCATGCTCTCGAAAGCAATCCGCCCTTTGTCAATGATGCTTTCCAATATACCCACGTCTTTGACTGTGAATGCGCACTCCCGTAGTCTCTTGAGATGTGCCAAAAGTTGTTCTCCCTTCTTGTGGTGGCTAGTCGGTATAGAATCGAAGAAGCGACAAGAGTTGTGGACAAGTGCTTCCATGTCCTCCAGATTACCAGTGTGGTTGAACTTTTCCGTGCACAGTTCCACGAGAAGTGAAAGCATCTCAATCCACCCATCCTGTCCTGGAACGTTGACGTCCAAACCAACATTGCAGTTTGCGATTGCTTCATCCAATACTTCTGGGTTTTTCTCAACCCTAAATTTCATCGCAGCCGAGGCTCCCAGCTGGCCAATGGCCATTCCGTGTAACTTTGTTCCAGGTTCGGCTGACGACAGCAGCTCTCGAAAGAGAACAATAGCCTCTCGTTCATTTTCTTCATCCAGTGTGCACAGATAGCGCAAGCGCAAGGATGAAGCAAGATTGTTAATGGTCGTTAGATATCGCTCGGAATCCTTGCAATCCTTGTGTATCTTCCGCAAGATCTCCCGCTTGCAGGCAATGGAGTCCTCCAGATCGGGGGGGTTCTTCCTCAACTCGAACCGTTGAACCAGAGAGTGACCTAGATTGGTCAGAATCTCAACATGAAGATCCAGACTTTCTTCGCTGCCAGTTGCAGCTAACAGGTCATTGGCTTGGCGTCCACATGTGACCGAGTTGTCAAGCGGCTGTTGGGAGCCAGTGACGCAGTAGAGCTCATACTCGGCCTCACAGAGTTTGTTCAGTACCCAGACGCGATTTGGGGAGTCCTGCGGGATACGGCGCAGAATCGCATCTAAGTGCTGGACCGCATCTTCCAGCAGCGGCTGTCGTGAAAAGTGGACGCCGAGTTTGATTGAGGCTTCTGCTATGACGGATCTAGTGACGATCTCAATCTCTAATGGAATGCTGTCATTCGCAAGAGCCTCGGCAAACTGCACCTGCGCAGAGGTATACATCTGGAGCAGGTCGGCAATATCCATGCCCTTAATTTTGTCGAAGTCCATCTCGTGGGGATTTGCCAAATGCCAATCCAGTTTGTATACGTTGACGAATCCAAGCATATGAATTAAAGGGTGGCAGGCCACTCGGAAACATGTGGTGTTCTCTTGAGACTCTCGGATGGTCTGACACGTCAATACCGGGCGAACCACTCTCTATTGCCCCGCCTCAGCAAAATCTGCCTCACCTTATCTTCTTCAGCTTGGGAGGTGCAGGGATCGCTGTTCCATTTTGCACTGCCAGGATGTATACGCCTCCCTCTGTGGGTACATGAAGACGGCTCTCCACAAGCTGCCAAACGGGCCTAGGGCTGACTGTCTTTCGAATCGTTTCAGCCAATAGAGATAGCTTTACAAAATGAAATCTGGTATCGGTACAAGTCTTGTCACGGGGTTTTGTTTATGTGTCATTTAAGATGAATATAACATGACACCTGGCCAACCAGCTAAGGGACACAACACCAAAACCTTCCATCACCAAAAACCCCATCATGAGTCGCAAAGTCCTCGTCACTGGGGCCAGTGGCTACATCGCCGCTCACATTGTCGACGCCCTGCTGCAGAGCGGGTGGGATGTGCACGGCACGGTGCGCAGCTTGAATAATGAGAAAAAGGTCAACCCGATCAGGGCTTTGGCGGAGAAGGAGGGCGCCAAGGGTAAATTGGAGCTATTCGAGGCTGATTTGCTGCAACCCGGATCGTTCAATAAAGCGATGGAGGGATGTACAGCTGTGGTTCATACTGCTTCGCCTTGTCCCTTGCCTGAAGAAGTCAAAGAGCCAGAAAGTCAACTCCTCAAGCCGGCTCTCGAAGGAACACGCAATGTGCTAGAGAGTGTCAATCAAACTCCCACCGTGCTGCGTGTCGTTATCACTTCTTCTGGTATGTGCCATTTCGGGGTTTCCCTCCAGACTATGTTTTCCGCCCTGATCTTCACAACAGACCTGACTGACGCGTGGAATAAATAGAGGCTGCCGCCCGTGGGTCAAACCTTGATATCATACAGGCACACGAGGATAAAACCGTCCGTGAAAGCCACTGGAATGAGACAGCCACCATAGACTGGTTGCCCTACGCCTACAGCAAGACCATGGCAGAGCGTGAGGCTTGGAAGATGGCAGAAGCTCAGAGTCGCTGGAAGTTGGTCACAATCCTACCCGGTGTCGTGATAGGCCCCAATCTCACGCCTGACTCGAGCTCAGGGAGTTTGAATGCTTTAGGCATGTTAATGAACGGGACCCTCATGATGGGCACGCCTGACTTGCCCTTCCCCCCGGTCGATGTGCGCGATGTGGCTCTGGCGCATGTGAGAGCTCTCGAGCGAGAAGAAGCCCACGGCAGGTATCTGATAGCAAACGAGAGGAGTGTCCCATGGCTGGAGATGGCTGACATGCTGCGTCCTGTCCATCCAAGCCCCTGGAAACTCCCTAAGTGGACCATACCTGGGTTTTTCCTGCGTACTGTTGGCGGGTTGCTTGGGATATCAAGGAGGTATGTTGATGAAAATTTAGGCATTCATTTTCTCATGGATGTTTCCCGAAGCATCAATGAGCTGGGGATAGCATACCGCCCCCTGGAGCAGAGCTTGGCAGACCATTGCCGCTCGTGGTTGGAATCACAAAATGCTTGAGGGAATTTCGGGCATGTGATTGCAAGCGAGTGTCTGTTCTGGTGGGCGGTACGCTGCTATACGACGAGCTTGGATGCTACATGCAGTGTGGTAATCAGGTTTTCGCTGCGTGTTGCTTTCATTGGGCTCGTTAGTCCAGGTTCTTTTCAGATTCCCAACGCAATTGCGTGAATTAATACATTAACTTTGTGCGCTCTGCTCATAATGTAGCATGCCAAAATTGACTTGCCAATATGCACTGCCCGAGTTGGAAGTACCAACGTGAGATATCTCAGAAGAAAGGAGGCCGGCTGAATTGAATGGGGTGTTTTTTTTTTTTTTCTGAGTGAATTTGAGAGCATTGTTATGAATTCAAATGGAAATATGACCGCTTCATCGCCAATTCAGCCGGTGATCCCCTGCTCCTATTGAGACAAGGGTCGATTCTTCGGCTAGAAGGCAATTTAGTCAGTTGTTTATACTTTTACCAACGTCAAATCAAAGCCCGGAACTCGCCTGTGTAAAAAATAGCAGGAGTAGCATTTTGAGAAGTTATATCTATCATTGCCATGATCCCATTGTGATGTTACTCCCACCGTTACATCATGAACTGAGTGAAATCGGGTGATATTGGTGGATCATCCGAGACCCCGCATGAAGAGCAGCAGCCAACCAGAAGCAGAGGCAAGAGGAAAGAAGTCAGACATTGTGTGAACTCCTCCGGCTCGTATTTGGCTTTCCTTCAGTCACATCGATGGCTCATGTGAAGATGGACTCACAGCTCACACCACAACTCGCAGCCTCCTCCACGGCCAGGCCGATTCACTCCGCTCTTCCAATAGAGGTGCTTCATTTGATATGCGGACATCTGCCCAATAGCGACATCAAGAACCTGCGTCTCACGTCCTCGTTCTTCGCCACCGCAGCGCGCCTGGATTTCCGCCGCGTCTTCCTGTCCGCGAACTCGAGGAACATCGAGGTATTTCTAGCCGTAGCAAACCACAACGTCTTCCGCACTCAGGTTGTTGAGATCATCTACGACGATGCCCTCCTGCCTGCAACCGACACTCTGTGGCATGGCGGCATGTGGCTAGGTCCGAGCAAACTACTCGAGGATCAGTGTGCTAAAGGCCTGCCGCCTCGTTGGATCCGTCAAGCTTGCAGAAACGACTTGGAGGCGCTCATTGAGGCGAGTGAAGACGAGCGCCGACACAAATTGGAAGATTACCTTTCGCAAGATTGGACCTGGCAGAAGCTGAGAACGTACAACTGGGAGATGACGCTGCCCTACTACTTCCAACTCCTCCGAGACCAGGAAGCAGTTCTCGACGACGAATCGTACGTGAAGGCACTGCGACTTGGTCTTGCGCAATTCCCTGCGCTTCGTAAAATCACCGTCACGGCCGCTACGCACGGTCGGCTATTCAATCCGCTCTATCACACGCCAATGATCAGGCGGTTCCCCCGGCTGTTCCAGTATCCAATCCCTCATGGATGGCTCAGGCGCTGTGAGGATGTCAGAACTTACCACAACTGGGCCACTTCAAAAGAAGGTTGGAATGGGTTTTGTACTGTTATCGAAGCTTTGGCAGAGAATCTTGACGGCGGAAGAGTTACGGAGCTATCCATCGATGCTCGTCTGGAAGATTCCGGAATAGATGTCAGTTTCCTCAAGACCGAGACCAAAATCTTCAAGCAGTTTGAGACTCTTCTCGCGAGAAAAGACTTCGCAAGCTTGAAGCTCGATCTGTCCGGCCTTAGCGAGGACTTTTCTGACGCTGAGGTTTCGGGCCGATGGGGTAATATGAGCAATGGTCTTCTGCTCCGTGCACTTTCTGGCGCTCGAGATTTGAGGCATCTCAGTCTTTCGACCAGCGAGGGCTGGGCCCCGGGATTTGGGACTCAACCCCCAACAACGCCAGTGCCGCTCAGAAGCATGATTCCCAAGGACTGTTCTGCGCGACTCCAGCACTTGACACTCCGAAGCTTCTGGGTTGAAGAGAGCGATCTCGTGCCTTTTCTCAGTGAGTTGCCAGAGGAGCTAGAAATGCTTGAATTGAGCTATCTCAATTTCTCTCAGGGAAGCTATCGAGGGACACTTGAGCAGATGAGAGATGTAATGGGTTGGCAAAACAGAGAAAGAAGGATTCAGATCAACATTAGCATCCATGGAGTTGAGGTATCCCTTGCGCCAGTTTTTGGGAAATCAATATGCATTAATGAGGAGGTACATGCATTCATCTATGAGAACGGACCAAATCCTTTCTCGGGGAAAGAACCAAAACCAAACGCTACATTTCGCAATTTGTTGGAGGACGGGGTAGGGATAATCACTGACGCTTTTGATTCCCAAATTCCTCCCTTTGAATAAGCCGGAATTTGACAAACCCCATAAATAGTTCTATACAACTCTCCTCTTATTCCTCTTGCGTGTTCCAAAGTCATAGTTTCCTATCTTAATGCCCAGTCTTGGTCTTAAAAATGGCAACTTATTACAGATCTTCCAAGCCTGCTCACTTGGCTTTTCTGATGTGCTTTCCTAGATAAAGTATTTAATCAGATAGAAGTAGCAGATCCTTCAAAGACTCTCAAGCGATAAATTATCATCACATAGCGGAGGCCTCGTAAGCCAACCGGTTGAATACTCTGGTAGCTTCGATTTGAGCAACTCCACCCGCTCTCCATCCCAGAACATGAAACCCAACCACCGCCACTGGCGAACAACCAGTCGAGCCCAGTTGATCTGAAGTGCGGTCAGATTTCCTTGTCCTGGAGGTAGTGTTTCTCGGAACAGATCTCCGCCCCGTCGCTGACAATCGATTCCATGGTGCCCATCAATCCATCCAAACGGAGCCGATTGGTTGCCATCATCGTCGTCTTCGACTACAAATAAGCCAGTCAGAGCGTCCTCTCGTTGGTAGATCTCGCCCTGAAGGCTCCAATATTGCTCGGCAATTTGATTGGCGCTTGTCTGTGGCAGTGAGCCAGCGGCAAGGAAGTTGTAACTCGTAGGCATGATATTACGCCTTGCTTCCCGCTCGCTTTTGGATATGTCCATTTCGATCTCGAGATCCGCCATGGTTTTATGCCCAAGTTTCTCATGGAACCTCGCACGCATCACACCCAGATCACCCATCGCCTCTTGCTCGTCCGAGTCTCTCCACCACTCTCGCCCTGTCAAGTAGACTCCCCACAAGCTTCGCGGGATTCGCTCACAAGAGGGGAACACAAATGACGCCATCACACGCAGGAAGCTATGGGCATCAGTGATTTGCGGAACCTCCCAGGGCCGAAAGAGGTCGAATAACTGTTTGTAAGCTGCTGTTCCTTGTGCCATTGCTCCGAGTGACTGTATAGATGCTAGAACTTGATGTCGGAGGAAGGCGTGCGCAAGCCGCTGCCGTTCTCGGAAGTTCAGCTCCCGTGCAGCATCAGGGTGTATCTCCCGCAGTCTTGGAAGTCTGGTCGCGGCGTACTGATCCACGACGAACTGCACACCGCTGTTTATTCTCACGAGCTTCGCGAGTTCGGCCTCTGACAGGCCCCTTGCGAACGATAGTCCACGATCCTCGGAAATAATCGACTCATAAAGTTTGATGGCGTGTTTAACATTTCCTTTGTACCCGGTGCCATGTCGAAATGTTGCAGAAGTTATCACAGTCGCGGCGGTGGCGGTCCGTAGACCAGACCACCCCAGGTCCCTAGCCACAATGCTGATCAGAATAGCCCGCTTTGCAGATCGAAACACCTCGTAGATTACTCTGGAAGAGCGTACGATTGAGTACAAATCGCCTGTGTTGTGGGACGCAGAGAGTACTGCCAGAAGCACGTCGGCTGGAAGGGCTTCGAGTTCTTGTCTCGACCCCTTACGAGTGCCTGTTGCGTCATGCATAGCAGGCATGTTCCAGTAAGGGGAGATGGTTTGCGCCAAGTGTCCTCGAGTGATTTCACGTTTATTTCTTCCTCTATTGCGCTTTCACCCGACTACGGTTCTTTTATGGTAAAGATTACGTTGTCAATTTTGGAGGGTGGCAGTACTGGCCAGAAAGGTAGGCGGGGATGTAAGACATTAGGTACTTTATGTTTGGCCCAATTTAACCACCAATGATTGGATGCATGATTTCTACAAGAATGTTGAAATGATACTGGTTCAGATTTACTGAGTATCCTCTCTACTTATAACAAGAGGAGTCAACAATACAGCCACGTCGATCATACATTAGATAGGCTTCTAGCAATGCGCGATCTGATTCATTTCATATGTCGGGATATCCTAGAATCGAAATTATAAACACTTCATTCAGATGACCTTTTTTCTCTTCCAAGCCGTCGCCACTTCTATATTCGAAAATAATCTTGTAAAGGGGAACAGAAGTAGGAAGACACGAGTGAGCGCCCATCAAGGGGACGAAGGCGGTGTTTCGCTGTTACTAGCATTACAATTGCAGATAGAGGCCAGTTAAATGATAGATTAATCTAAGCGTTCTATTATGCTATGAGAGTTCCCTAGTATACATATCATTCCGACAGGTTTCACGTAAGAATTCAGCATGGCACATTGGTCAGTTCTCCGAGTGATTGAGGGAGGTGGTAACGGATGTGGGCATAGAGCAGAAAACAGAGATCAAGCTTTATCAATATCTTGCCTCCCCATATGAAATATCCAACCAAAAGGTTTTTTTATTAGCTAGCACTTCATTTACGTGAGAACCTCATGAAGTCTTGAATCTACTAATTCAGGAATCATTCATCATTCCCCATGCAGTTGGGAGATCCATATTGATTGAAGTTGGGGAGTCTGCCTTATTTGTTTCTACCGGTTTCAGTACTAACATTATTCTCTGGCCCAATTCGGTAATAATTTTACGAAATACTTAAAATTAAATTATCTGCTATTCAGGCTCAATCAGAGCGAAGCCCCCTATAACCAATTGACAGATGATTTCTTACAGTTCTCTTTTCACCAGACTACCTCTTCCGAAAATGCGAACGAAGATGCAGATTCTAGTCTTCTTCTCGGAACCCCCCGAACCAGTAATGCGAAGGTTAAATGTCTCGCCTCTCATTGTGTTGAGATTTTGAGTTTGGGATCTTCTACCTTATATGCTCAAACTCTCACCAGGATCTTGCCTTTAGATAATGATCAAGCATCAGCCAGGCGATGATACTGCTTCTACGGTAATATCTACTGGTAGTCATTGGACGCAACCAAAGGAGTATCGCTTACGTTGCAGCCCTGAAACATTCCATTGTAGCTTCATTCCATTGCAAAATCGAAATGCGGCAGTTGAGTTTCTCATACCCTACCAGTCGGCAGATGTCACTGCCCGGCATTAGAGGAATTATACATAAGTCCCACGCAAGCTAATGAGTGTTGGGGCTCCTATGTCATCGCGCTTAGGGTTTCGTGTCTGGGCATAAGCTGACGCACGCACACTCCGGGGCAGGGATATGAATCATGCCATCCAATTTATAGTGGTTTTTACCAGAATAGGCAATAATTCACAAAAATACCCAACGCAGTATCATTCCGCGAAACATACGGCTTCTGAAATGTCACCATTGGTTGCATTACGAACGATTAGCGAACAGATGACAATCCTCTTCAGATGTTACGTTACAGGCTGGCGCCATGGCCGAGACCAAGACTCCAAATAATATCTGGCAAATAAGCAATGACTTCAAGAGCAGACTGCCGAACTTGGTTCGGATTATCGATGGATCTAGGGCAACTAACGTATTCCTTAAGGGGACGAGTACAAGCGTTTAGGGGGAAGAACTGTTTGCGATACAAACCTGCCCTCAGCCTCTCCACAATCTGACATCTATCAAACGGGGGTTACTACCGAAAGGTTCTACTGCCACATTCAAATCATGCAATTTCGCTGTAATAGGGCGATGGATTCGAGTTATGTTGCACCTGCACGCCTAGTTAGTAGGTAAACTAGACACCGTTACTCATTATTAATCTTTGTAACTATATTGGAATATAAAATTCCGTTTCCATACTTTGAATATTTGAATAGCTTTCAAAACCATCATCGGAATGCATGAAAGGATGATCTGACGACCCTCACCCTTTCATTCACCCATTTGTGACTGAAGAAACACCTATTATGCCCTTCGAGCCCGAATACAATGAACCACCACTCTTATCATGCTAGAATAAAGAAGTTGGATTCAGCAGTAGATATTTATTAAGCCCGACCCTTGACAAAAACAGGGCTCTAAGATCAGCTCTCTAAGGATTAATTGCAGCAGAAGATCATTGTTACGTCTCAGGATCTTCCAGTCAGTAAAACTGGCCGCCTCCATT